TCCACAACTTCAGAAATAGCAGCAATCACCCAATATATCATGACTCGGCTCGTGACAAGACTGAAATAAGCTACAGTCATATGCTCCTTGACAGAGTGCTTGTAGCAGTATATATCAGCAGAGTAATGTCTATTTCCAGAAACTTTTGGGCAGCACTTCCTCTGTGCTTTACATCGTAATAATGGGACTAATGGTATGTGATTGCTTATAATATTCCATCACATTTCAGGAAACTTCTATGTAACACTGCACAGCTTTATTGTGGCACTGTCTTTTCTTTTTATGCTGTAGCATTGAAGGCACTGGCATATATTAATTTGTTTATATGTTGATGTTGGTGGAACTGCAGTGGGGTTATATAGAAGACACATGTCTGCTAGTAAGAATATTAAATCAGTATTTTTGCTGTGACATGTACTTTATATTTTTAAATTTGGTATGACTCCAACAGTAGTTACTAAAGGATTTCAGGTTCTAATATAGTCTATTTGGATTGATCAGTTTCATGAAAGAATGTTTCCAATACTCTTTTATATATTGAAATCTGTCATGTTTTCTTCTGTTTCTCCTGGTCCTTTGTTATTCATTTCTTCATCTTCATACACATTGCTCCTCTGGGGAGCATGATAAGTCATCATGTGAGCATGTTGGCTGCAGTGCTTTTACGAATTTCAGTCTGTTTCGTGGCCTCTTTGTAATGTTCTTTCCATGTGTTTCAAGTTCTGCCAGTTTCTGTTACCAGCATCTTTCCAATTTAATGCTTCTTACTGGCCCTGATTATTAATTTCACTGGTCTTTCCTTCACCATCAGCGAAATTAAATATCTGAAGTAAACTGAGTAATATATATATATATATATATCTAATAATCATGAAGATAAAATAACATACAGATTGTGGTACTGATTTAGGTATTAATACATTGCTGATCAGGTTATAAGCAGGAGATCTGCTGTTACTACAAAGGAAATTCAGTAAATAAGTCACAAATGGACATAAAACAGCTGTAATGGACGTAATAGGTTTTCTATATGCATCACTAGGTGGCAGCACATTCCAGCTTCATGGCAGTCTAGGTAGATGCCCATGTGCATGTTCAGAGGCTGGTTTCAGTAGTCAAAATGGCAACCGTACTTGAGGCCTGCACCACCGAGATCAGCATTCTGGTGTCAGTTTTTTTGTGGGCAAAAGGATATTCATAAATACATGTTTTCTGTTAACGGTGGGAAGTGTTTGTTGCATAAAGAGATTCACAACTGATTCAATAAATTCTCTCAGGGACGTTCAAAAGTCACAGATGATGCCCGACGAGGTCCAGAAGTGGCTGAGATGACAGTCTGAAGACTTCTATGCCGAGCGTTTAAGTGCAGTGATACAAGTGTATCAATGTTGGTGGAGGATATGTTGAGAAATAACTGATTTTTCCCTCCAGGATTCAGTATCACACGTTTTACATTTTATATCGATTTATGACCTGTTTACTGACTCTCCCTCATATTTCATTAATGTTTCTAATTTGTTCCATAATAATTGTGGATTTATACTACTTTTACAGCTTTTGTTCACAGTATACAATTAGTAATATTGCGGTCGTTATTAATGTGTATGACCTGTTTTGTTTGCTAAAATATGGTAGTTTGAAAGTACATACATAGGAATGAAGTGGGAATTCAACAGAGATGCCTCAGATATTCACAGTGTTTGAGTATTGATATTATTCCATTAATATGTGGCTATATGCAGTGTTCCATATTTTCATACCTGCATGGACTGTCATTGGAAATTATGATCATGAGCCTTTGGATCTGATGTATAATAAATGACCTGTAGAATTTATTACAGAGGTTCAGATATAATGGGCTGAGTCTCTGTTTAATAGGTGATACTAATCTAGTAATGCTTCTTTTGAGTAGTGTGTGACATTAATGACTGATACCAGTCATATCTGACTTCCTGTTGTATTGAAGCCATTTTGATAAATAATTTTAGTTTCAACCTTTCTCTTTGGGGCATGCAGTAGTGAAGTTGGTTGAGGCACTATGCTACAAACAGGACGGTCGTGGGTTCAAGTCCCGATGAAGTCATTGGATTTTTTTTTCAATTGACCTAATCCTTCCAGCCGCACTATGGCCCTGGGGTCGACTCAGCCTCTAATAGGAATGAGTACCAGGAATATTCTTGGGGGTAAAGCGCGGCCGGCGCATAAGGCTGACAACTTTACCGCCATCTATGAGCCGGTTGTCTAGAAAATGAACCTCTGCATCTCACAACCCTATGGGCTTCCACGGCCTGTTACAGGGATAGCTTTACTATTACTTACTTTACTTTAACCTTTTTCTTTAAAAAGTGAAGATCCTTTGGTATGAGCGTTGTATTTTGTATATTTTTAAGATATTTGTGTGTGTGTAATGTACATTTACTTTTATAAGTGCTGTGCATGAAAATGTGTATGGTTAATCATGGGAACAGATCAAATAGTGCTGTAGTGCTTCTTGGTAATTACCTCAATAATAGAATATGCTGATTTTTGTTTGTATTATTTAGGTTACAGCAGGAACAGTGAGTTTGAACAAACAACATTCAGTTTTATTTTGTTGTTCCCCATTTTCCCACATTATTATACTGGTCACATTAAGAAAAGACACAAATTTGTGTTGTAACTTCAGTATGTAATCTAATTATATATTAATTATTATATATTATATATATATATTAATATAAGGAACACCCTCCTGAAGTCTGGCACATTCCACCTGGGACAGCCTGTATAAAACAAATTTGCTAGACAGACTTTTCATAACCTTTAATTTTTGCATCTTGTATATTGATATTATATTGGGATTTAAATTAATCAGTACAGGTGTTTATAGTATATGTATGTATATGATTATTAAAAATAAGTACATGTTTTGACCATCTTCCTGAAGATGATAAAAAATTGTTGAAAAATATAGTGGTTTTAATAATTACTGTGTTTTTATTATGTATATTATATTTTTATACAAGCTATGTTGACAGCCATATTAATCCCAATATAAATTTCACATTTGGAAAGTAGGTATATTCCACAACATTGTGCTTCTACATTTGTGGGAGAACAGTGACTAACTACTAAAGTTTAACTGATTTAACGGGTTGTTTAATTTTGTAATAATATTCTTTTATCAATTTTTTTACACAACTCTATGAAGTGTATGAATTTACTTATTATTTATAATTCCCAACATGTTTTTTCTACCTGTGACCTTGAACTGTTGTGCATATTGATATACCTTTTGCAGTATTACAGATATTTATTTTTCGTTTTCAGTCTTCTTCATTGAAAATTATAAAAATGAGAGTTGAGTACTTTTGTTTTATGCTTAATAAAAGCTCTGAAATTGTACTTTGTCTGTGATATTTAGGCTGCTGAAATCACAGTTAATTTCATCTGCACAACTGATTCTTTAACCTCAAATAACAATCAACTTGGGGGCAGTTTCCATTAAAATAATTGCAAGTGTTTAGGGGACTAATTCATTAATTGGACTCTCATGTAACCAAGGGCCCTGTTTCCAGCTTCATTATACACTAGAGCAGTGGTTGTAAGATTTGAGGCTTTCACGGCGGTGACTATGAAGAAAGCAGTCTTCTGGGATTTGGCACCGTGTATATGTGGGTAACACCACATATACACGGTGCCAAATCCCAGAAGACTGCTTTCTTCATAGAGCAGTGGTTCTCAACCTTTATGAGACCGCGGCCCAGTAAGTTCTTCTTTTATAAGACGAGGGCCCAGTCCCAACAAATTGAGTCGTAAATACCTTTCCGGTTTGTTAAAGTTCATGCATTAAGCTAACGTAATATTATTAATTAATTATAGCATAATCATAAAGAGTATTAGTACACTTATGTATACGGTGTGGCATGTTGACAAACATAAAATTACGTTTAAATTAGTTATCTTGTAGCATTTTGTAGTTTTCTCAGACCAACATCATTAAATTAATTTGTGCTAATTTTCATTGCCATGTCCCATGTTGATCACCAGCAACTTATATTATTCAGCGTAAAATTGATTTTAATGATGTTGGTTTGAAAAAAAAAATGGCAGTGAGAAAAATATTTATGCATTGTAACTCACCATAGAAGTCAGCTGAGTAGGTGAAGAAGCAGAAGGATGTCAACTTGTGAAGAAACAGTTTCAGTATTACTAGATTTGAGAACCAGATACAGACTGCCTTGATCTTCAATTTCAGTGGAAACATTTTCTTTATACTTCCTTGCTGATTGGTCACTGACATTTGCAACACAGATGTTATTTTGCTCAGTTCTGAGAACAGAGGATATGCCGCCCATTGTTGTAATTGGCTTGCAGGCAATTTTTATGATTGGTTGTAAACATCGGTATTGCCTTTCCCGAATGTTGAAAGATTTGGATGTCTGAAAATTCCCGATCATTCATGAATACTTCCATATTTAAAAATATACGCCTTGGTCAGTGACATTTGCTACACAGATTTAGGTGTTCTGTGTCTGAGCTTCTCAACACAAATGTTATTCTCCTCAGAATATTTGCACTATAAAATATTTATTCATGAAAAATGCTTAGAAAATGAAAATGACAAATTCCAGAAGAGCCTTTCATGGCTATTATGATGTCGCTTGCTTCACATAAACAGTTATCATATCTTGGGAAATGCATGAATCTTCAAAATAATTTGACTGGTTTTCTTCTTTTTGACATGGGCACTGACTGGAAATTCAGTTGGGATCAGCTTTGGCTGACTAACAGAAGTGGGAAGCTTCTTTCTGCCAACTGTTTCTAATTTAATATAGGAACTTAAACCCAAACTTAAATAATCATGATTAAAAGAAATACATTTGTAACATTCAGGCTGGTCATGGTGGATATGCTGCACATACTAATACAGTAAAAATAATGACATGAATCATGGGTTCCTTCAGCATGCTAGATCTACGCAGTTTTGTGTATAACTAATAAATACTGACTTTATGTAGGTTCATGAAGTCCATCCGAGCTGAGATTCTGGAACCAGAAGTATTTCATTTGAATCCTAAGAAAAGTGACACCAAACTATTCCGAACGGTGACACGTCTCTTGCCGTCATCACTCTCTTGGTATGGTGCATATCTCTTTGGGGTGAGTATCATTGACCCATATCATATAAGATTTAACTCTTCTCCATAACTGGTTACAGCCAAATTAACCTTTAATGTATGGACTTTTAAATTGCTGGAAGCCCTATGTGGCTAGAATTTAAATGGCCCTAAGTTTTTAACATTGCAGACTTTCAGAAAAACTACATATTTTCCATTCTATGCAACATAGAAATATGAATTAACAACACCTTTAAAGACAATAACATTTTCTACATATACATGAAAGAGCAATTTTTATAAATGAAAATTAACTGTGATTATTTTGTCATGAAATGCAAAATATAATCTTTATTATGTATGTTATGAAATTCCAAAGGACTTACCAGTAGTTTTTTCTTCAACCTTGAGACATTGTAATTTTGTAAATAATTAAAACTGGTTTATTTAATGACACTTTCAATATCGAAACCGTATAGTATGAGGTAGTAAGGTGTCTGAGAGCGCCTCTCTGGTTGAGTGGCCGAAGTTCCTGGCTACAGATCTAGAGGTCCCGGGTTCGATTCCCGGCGCTGCCAGATTTTCTGATAAGAAGTGGGTCTGAAATGGGGCCCACTCCGCCTCATGAGGATAATTGAGGAGCTATTTCAAGGAAATAGCGGCTCCAATCTATAAAACCGAGATTAACGGCTGTTGGGATCCATTACGCTCACCATGCAACACCCTCTATCTGCAAAAGTTAGCACTGACTTCGCCGACAAACTGTGGTCGCTTGATCAATATAGTTCGCTTCTGGACTACAGGCCACAGAGTTCTTTTTGTTTGTTTTTAGTAGGGTGTCTGATGAACACTGAATTGGAAAAGATTTGGTAGGAAGAAGTCTTGGCCTAATTGATGTACTGTCCTAGTATTTTCCTGGAGGGATTGTGGAAAACCATGAGAACCCTCAGTCAGGATAGCCAATGTCCTCTCAGCTAAGATTCAAACCAGGCATCTCCGAAATATAAGACTGGAGCTTTACCTCTAGATCAGCCTGTTTGTTCTCTATTTTACAAAACTATGAACGAAAAAATAAAAAAAATCTTAAAGTGAACAACAAACTATGGATCATGGCACTGAAAAAAATTCACTTCTGGATTTTGTTCTAGACAAGTGAACCTGATATGAGGTGAGAAAAGAAATTCAAAATGGCAGGTGCCCGTTTTGTTTTCATGTCTTCTGTGTGGATTTGATGGTTGTCCCACAGTGATATTGCCCTCATAAATTCACTTCAGTGTGATAATCCCTGAAGCATGAGTTAATGCAAATGCCAACATCAGAGTTTTCACGTTGATAAACTGTGATTATTTTCATTATGAATGAAGCAAAGACAGTGCTGCAGTTTCTCTCCTGTGGGTAGTCAATGGTTGCTGCTTCTGCTTGTTTTTTAAGATGTTTATTTTTATCATATTATGTCTCATTGATAGATGTTTGTCACTGTGTTGCCTAGTTACAAAGCACACACTATTGTAGTCTTTAGTAGTTACAGGTCTCTTAACATTTCTGTGCTCATAACAAAAGTTTCTATCATATGGTGGATGTTAGCACATTTATATAACAATGCTGTAATGCTCTAAGTAGTTCAGAACATAAAGTGTTGGTTGGAAAGCTGATTAGTGAATTAGTGAGTTGGAAAGGATATAGAAGGAAATGATGATGTAGTTTTAGGTACTATCCTGGCATTTGCCTGTACTGCATATGGACTTGGTCTGGATTGTTATTAGGGTTCAAACCAGTCACCTCCAAAATACAAATCAGAAATGTTACTCCATGGGCCAAATTGTTCTGTAGGATGCAACAGCAACTTCTGTCTTCTATTGGGTTTTTGCCCGCATATATTTGTGGCTTAAATAGCAGTGATGTCAGTAGCCTAAAGCATTGAATGATAGGATGGCTAGTGAATAACTGTTGGAAAGAAAATGGAGGAAATGATAGTGATCCAGTTGTAAGTACTATCCAGGCGTTAGGTTGAAGGAAAGCTGAGGAAAACTGCAGACATCTTTGCTTAGGATAGTCACTGTTCCATTGAGATTCAAACTGTCACTTGAATATAAGTCAGGAATGGTACAACTTACGCCATCTTCTTTTTTAGACTGCAGTATGAACATCTTTTTGTTTCCAAAGCATAGCTGTCTGGTCAACCCTAGTCAAGAAGTGAGCCCGTCCTCAAATCAACCACAACTTTTTTCCTTTCCCCCTGCTTCTACATAACCTGACACTTTTCCAGCACTGGTCTACTCTGAAGTTGGAGGCTATGTGTTCCTTTGAAATGTTTGAATCTGCCTACCAGACTGCGTGATATCATTACCCCCATGACGTGTGTGCATGTGACAGAGAGAGAATTTGTTCTAGAACCTTCCAGACTCATTCAGAGATTCTGGTAAATCATGCCCCAGCTCTGTTAGGGCCAAATATGGATACACATCAGGGCCTGCCATGTCAGATAGGCTGATTAAATTGTGTTTAAATAAAATGTATAGTAAGTCCATATAGGTAAACATTTGTCTGATAATTTTCCTATTCAGAATGGCCTAAAACAAAGAGATGCTTTATCGCCACTGCTTTTTAAACTTTGCTTTAGAGTATGCCATTAGGAAGGTACAGGAAAACCAGATGGGGCTGAAATTAAATGGCACATATCAGTTGCTGCTCTCTGCTAATGATGGGAATCTACTCGGTTATAACATAGATACCATGAAGAAAAACATAAACTTTAATTGATGCTTTACTAAGGAGGTTAGTCTAGAAGTAGACGCAGAGATGACTAAATACATGTTGCTGTCTTATGACCAGAATGCAGGGCAAACTCATGACATAAGATAGCTAATAGATCCTTTGAAAATGTGTCACAGTTAAGATATTTGGGAACGCCTACAACAAATCAACTGGATGAACCTGACTCAGGATAGGGACCAGTGGAGGATTCTTGTGAACAAGGTAATGAAACTTTGGGTTCCATAAAATGATGGGAAGTTCTTGAGTAGCTACACAATTGGTGGCTTCTCAAGAAATGCTCAGCTCCATGAATGAATGAGTGAGTGATGTTGTACCACCTGTGAGTGACCAGAAAATTTGAAACATGTAGTGGCTTTTAATACAAATATTAGATACTGATTGAGGTTATGTTGATAGTAAAATTTAAAGAAACTGGAGAAATTTACAAGTCTCATAATACATATGAATGTAGGGCATCTTATTGTTCACCATGGTGGCGTAGTGGTTAAGGCACTATGCTACAAGTTGGAAGGTTGCGGGTTCAAATACCGATGAGGTCATTGGATTTTTTCAATTGATCTAATCCTTCCGGCCGCACTAAGACCCTGGGGTTCAGTCAGCCTCTTAACAGAAATGAGTACCAGGAATTAAATAAATAATTTTCCTGGGGAGTAAAGCGTGGCTGGCGCATAAGGCTGACAACCTTACCGCCATCTTTGAGCCGATTGTCTAGATAGTGTGGGACCCTCAATGTCTCACAACCCTATGGGCCTTCATGGCCTGTTACATAGATAGCTTTACTTACTTACTTACTTACTTACATGTGGGACACTAGTCTTTCGTGGCTCCTGTGCACCCCATCAGTTTCCAGTTCCTAATCATGCCACTCCATTTCTTTCTTTCGTATTGCAGTGTATAATGTAGCTTTCCCATTTCCCTTTAATAACTGAAGGGTATGTGAGGTCATTTCTACCACTAGCAAAGATCTGTGTCTCCTGATACCATTACATATGTTTTTCAAACTTTTGAAATAATGTCTTATATTTTTTTATATCATCTGATTAAATAGGAAGACTGAGAACTTTTCTTGCAAAATCTGCTATGAATTACAGAAATACATAATATATTTTGAATCTGTTTCTGTATTACATTGCAGGCTTTTCCACTGGATATGTCCCAATATGGAAGTTTGTTCAATACTACAAGAATACCAAAGATTAACAAAGATTCTCTTTTTCAAAATGAATATGCCAAGCACATGGTTGTGATGAAGGGAGGAAATTTCTATGTTTTTGATGTTTTTGATAAAGATGGTAAGTTGTCTGCATCATCCATGACCAAGATGGATTTTCTTTACTGTCACTCATAACTGCAAATTACACATACAGTAGCAAACATGGAATATGAAAAGACATTTAATAAGTAAATGAACTTCTTTTCAGAATATCACTGTGTTAAATAATCATGCTGAGAATTCAGATAGACTTTGTATGGTTTTCCTCATTCTCAATGTTGATGTTGCATTTTTACCTTTCACTACAGTTTCCTTCCTTATCATTGATGATTCACAGCTTTTGATCACCTTATCATCCAGCATTGTCTGTCTCAAGCCGATTGTAAATGTGTAAGGTAAAGGGCGAAGTTGTCCTTGTGTTCCCCATACACCATGAAGGCATATGGGGGAGTGGGTGTATAGATCCACATTTTCTTGACCTCAGCACTAGTTAGAGGTGAGGGGTCAGCTTCACACCCCGGCCATTTTACTCCCAGGGAAAGAGCCCCTGGTACCCATTGAATAGGAGGTTGTGTGCACCCCAGAGCCGGTCTGGATGATTTGGAGAAGATGACCCTACCGGGACTCCAACTCCGACCCCTCAGTCATTCAGCTCATAGCCAGCTGCTAAACCGACAGCACTACCCGAGCTATTGAATGTAAATGTGTGGTAATAAAAATTGAAACAAAGAAGGCAAAGCTGCTTTCTTCCAGTCTTTGAGAATTCACAGTAACTAATCTTACAGACATCAAATTGAAAGATGTAATGGAACATTAAGCTGGCTATGAATGTTGAAACTAGACTGATTCTGCTAAATTCCAAATCATCAATATAAATTTCCAGTGTGCTTATGTCTTGTATAGTACTAGTTTAAGAACAAGATGTTAAGAGGAATAGTTGTCCTAAAAGGAAGTAAGAGGAAAATAAAAAATATTGTGTTAAGGGGGCTTCATAATTTGTACTGTTCAACAAATATTTCTGATCACAGAGAATGAGATGGGTGAGGTATGTAGCATGCATTGGATGGCTAAGAAATGAATGGAGCATTATAATTCCCTAATCATTCAGTAATGTCCAGCATATAAGTTGTTGCCAGTTTGAACTGATTGATTAATTAATTGATTAAGCCTTCGGAATTTACACGTCACACAGACAGCAGCCTATTGAATGTCGAGTATTTCACATTGACTAATTTCATGGGGCAGAGTCCTTGAAAATCTAAGCAAAACTGGTCAATAAATGTTCCTATTTTCATTGAAGCTGAACATTCATTACCGTGTTTACAAGAACCTGCCACTGAACTGTGTCCTTTGCCTGATGAATCCAATCATTACTGTCATATCCGGTGTCTTCAAAACCCATTTCAATACTTTCCAACCATCTGTCCCTTGATTTTTCATGTGGTGTCTTCCTATCAGAAAGACGGTGTGTACCTCTTCCGAACTTAATGAACATGGTTCAGGATTAATGTTGTTAGTGATGTGTATGCCACTTTTAGAATTATAGTCTCACTGGTACTAGACAGAGGCGTGTTATTCCGAGCACTTTTATCTTGTGTTTTAGTTTACTGTATAATTTCTCTGTTGTCTCGAGTCTTTATGTTCAAGTAAACAGTCTGAACTACCACATAACCAATTGTAGTAAGAACATGAGATTTGTTAGCAGGATGTGATCTTGGACTATGATTAGTATCCATATTCTCCAGTGCATCAAAGAGAAGTCATAATAGTTTTAAAATCATGTCTTGACTTTTATCTGTGTTGTGACATTACTTTTTTTTTTTTTTGCCAAATAAACTTCTCATTTGAAGTTCATTTTGTAGCCATGCGAAAGTCAATAAGGAGCTTGAAGTAGCTCCTTAGCCAACCTTATGACGGTGGCAAAGGGAGTAATAGAAACATGCAAGAAATGAAGTCATTTATGGGATGGGGTGAGACAAACATTGGGAAATAATTTCAGGCACACAATGGCATTTCATTGTGCTGAGGATCTTATTCTTGCACGAAACAGTGCCCATTGACCAGTGGATATGTACTGTGAATATATGTATCAACAGGGGCCGGTGAATAGTAACTTTGAAGGTGGGGACAGTTAGAATTTATGAAATATCAGCAGTATACGTGACATCTACATGGTGCCTTCATCCAAAAACAGGATCCACATTAGCATTATGGAAGAAATGGAGTAGTACCATACCATATTTCAGGCAGTTAGATGCTGTCATTTTAGTGAAAGCCTGGTTTCAATCCACTAACATTCCTTGTAGAATTTGTAGTAGAAAAATTGTCACTAGGGAAACATTTTCTCTGAGACTAAATGAGTTTTCCCCAGCTGATCATCATTCCACCAATGATAATATTGTAGCCGTTGTGATGTGCATTAATCCTAGCCAACTGTCCATTGTTTCATATATAGTCGCATGTTAGAGTGACTGTCCGTGGGGTTTTGGATTGGTTATTGGATTTATTGACTGCTTACAGGTCATAACTACAAATTACTATAACATTATCGCTGATTTCCACACCACAAATCACTAGAGCACACAGACTAGTGATCTCAGTCTGTTACAGTCTCCTAGTAACGGCTCCAACAGTGGCTGTTCCTCAGCTTCCGTGCTCAAGTCCTCTCTAAATGGCGGTTCCCTTACAATTGCATATTCTTGCTCCAGTTGCCCTCCTTATGACCCCTCTGCATGGACCACCATAGAAAGCCCTGTTTCCAACAGTACCTCCATTGCTGCAGGAACATGTTTACGATTGTTGCCTACAAATAGGTCTACCTGCTACAATATTTTCACAGACATTGGAAGAGTAGCTAGTATATGCTGGCTTCCCACCGTGGTGGCCCAGATTTTATCCCGGGTCTGGTCAAAGTATGATTTGTGGTGGACAGAGTGGCGCTGGGGCGGGTTTTCTCCAAGTACTTCGGCTTCCCCTGCCAATCTTCATTCCACCAAATTTTCCATCATCATCATCATAATCACCTGGGACAGGTAGAATGTACTAATCAGTGGCCACTGTGTTGAGTGGACCCAGCTGGACCCCACCCCCCACTAAGCGAATTTTTAGCTAGTATACCATATTTAATTGTTTCTGTCACATATTAATATTATGTTTCAATTTTACCAGGTAATATTCTGCAGCCAGCAGACCTTTTGGCATGTTTGAAGTACATTTTGGATGATACAACTCCTCCAGCTGAGCACCCCATTGGAGTATTAACTACTGAGAACAGGAATACATGGGCTAAAGCAAGGCAACATCTAGAAAATATAGGCAATGTTGATGTTTTATCTTTAATTGATTCAGGCATCTTTACTTTGTGCTTTGATGATGTTGAAATTGCTGGGGATCTCTACTTTTTGCTGCGCCATTTTTTACACAGTGATGGACAGAATAGGTAAATGATTGTAGAGTGAATTATTTGAATCTAGTGCACACATCTTAACAACCTCTGACTGTAATACACATTTTAATGTTATGTTGGCATAATTCATAATTTAACCTGAGCATGATTATACTTAAGCCTTCCATGTGGTCTTCTTTCTTGGGATTTTCCTACAAAATTTGTGTGCATTTCTTCCTTTTCTCCTCTCTGTGAGTGAATGAATATATACACATATAACTTGTTATTTGCACATATTCCTATGTGTTTAGTTTACTACGTTGATCAGTGGAAAGGCAGATCCAGTTACATGACGTAGCCAGTGAGTGTCAGATTTGTGATGGTTAAAAATGTTGTTTGAGTAGATCTCTTTTTAAGTATTTTAGGTTCACCTTATGCTGTGTGTTGACCCTTTACTTCAGTAACAACAAACAGCCAGTACAGTAGAACACTCGTGAGTACTGGTTGGTATGAACACTATTTGATTTAAGTGGTGGTGTTTAATTTTGGAATATTTGCTAGACATTGGGTGTTACTCTGTATATACACACACTGTCGCTCCCTTTCGAGGTTTTTCCTTGCATGCAAATATATATAGAGATAGGGATTAACTCTATTAAATGGGCCCAACTGAGTAGTAGGTGCTCCTCCTTTCACGTTGGTTTCTTGGTTGGCTTATTCCTCGACCCTGAGGATGGAGGCAACATGTTCCTCTGAAACATCAGTTAACATTCAGTGGACTGCACAACATTATGTCCCAGAAGACACTTCCCATTTGGAATCAGAGGGTTCAAGATATACTCTCAAGGATCATATTCACTGTAGTTTATCAGTCAGTGTATTCCTGACCAGGCGTGTTGAATTCCTTGACTGATTCATTGTACCTGATTGTCACTCTTGCGTTCATCTGCCTTTAAACATGACTCCACTTTACTATGTGATGACCCTCTGTTTGGATATTAATAACAGACAGCAAACAGTACAACTTTCACCAGATGAAATCATTACCAGAAGTGACAATCATGACCCTCCTATAACCATGGGTGCTATTCCTTGATAACTCAAATGTATATAGGTACATGAGTGCCTGTCAGATGCAACATTTACCATACATCTTAAGGTTGTCCCATTTTCGCTACAAATTAAATATGTTGTTAACGTGTTTCCTTTGCCGAAGATGCCGAAGAGATTGTTAATTGGTTTATTCAACAACCTACAAGTAACGGCTACAATTAATTATCACACTGTTGCGGGGTTTCACACTTTATAACCCTAATCGCATTAATCTGTTTACACTGTTGCGGGGTTTCACGCTTTATAACCCTAAGCGCAAATCAGTTCACTCTGTCTTCAGTAGTCTACACGTTTACAGTAGGGGAGCTATGTACCACTGTATCACACGCTCCCAATTACACAATTACACACACGTGTGGTTCTTCTTTCCGCGACGGCTGCTATATTCCAACTGTAGTCTGCTGACTGGAGAACTGTTGATAACACACTCGCTCGTTGGCTTGCTCGGAACTAACTCGGAACTGAACTCGGTGATGGCCACATTACAGCTCTGGTCGCAGGCAGTGCAGCTCTCTTATATAGTGGCTGTGTGTGCCTGTTATATAGCAACGCTGTTACCTCACGCCGTCTTATGTCACTGCACATTGCGCGTTACGTTACCGTGCGGAGGGGGGGGAGGGGAGCGCTGACTCATCCGCCACGTCACTGTGGCCTGAGTTGCCACGTTACTGCTGGGTAGGGAGGGGTTCTCCGTTGCGCAACATGTCACAATATTTTCCAGCATTCATTCTTATTATTTATGCTAAATAACTTTATTTGTTGATATATCATTATGTAGGTTGTGGATAAGTTATCAATCCTCTTTTTTTTTTTTGTTCAGATTCTGTATGTATGTGATTTCCCAAGGTAATCTCATGTTGATGATAAGCACAACTATTAGCTGTAACCATATAACCTGCTCAGCTTAAGAGAAAGTATCTCCACTTATCTTTCTTTCCAACATACTGGTAATATAGGTAAAGTTTAAAATATTTTAACATATTGCTAATATAATACCCACTGAGAATTCAACAGGAAGTCTCATAATTTGTTACTAAAATTTTCATACTACTGGCTTACCCCTGCTTTCTCCTGTATTCTCATTTAGTTGTACACATTATTAAATGGTGCTTCAAGGCCAGTGTTTAACATGATTTCCCATGGATGGTATGTACAAATACTAAATTGTAAACCCTCTCCTTTAAATAGTATACTATTCTTGCAGAATAGAGATGATACACTGAAACAAAAGACTGTTCACTTGTTTGAGACCTGCATATTCATGCAGTGTGTTAACACTCAACAGTTCATTTTGTGTACTTGCATTTGTTTATATTCTATAAATCATTGAGTATAGCATGTAACATTCAACAGAAAACTTGCATTTTATTTCAGTTGGCCTGAGCTCTAAGAAATAAAAGGATTCAGTATTCACATTAACAGATGGAATATAAATGTGTTAAGTCATATAATTTAAATATGCAATAGGCCATGAAGTAAGAAAATGTGTTCTGTGTCCATTTACAGTCTATTTATGGTCATTTAAAGCGTGAAACTTCACTTAGAATGCACATTCAGTTCTGATCATCAGAGTAAATAAAGGCCGTGTATAATTCTTTCACAAAATAAGTTAGTGGGTTGGCAGCACGATAGCTTAAGCGGTTAGTCGCTGGCTTCCCACTGCGGTGGCCCGGGTTCAATCCCAGGTCTGGTCAAGTGGGATTTGTGGTGGACCAAGTGGCGCTGGGGTGGGTTTTCTCCGAGTACTTCGGTTTCCCCTGCCAATCTTCATTCCACCAAATTCTCCATTATAATCAACCGGGGCAGGCTACAATAGGCCAATCAGTGGCCGCCGTGCCGAGTGGACCCAGTTGGACTCCACCCCCCACTAAGCAAATTAAAAAAAGTGAATTAACTTTATTAATTCTTCAGTTTTTATTTGTGCAGGGGGGAAGTATTATGTAGTTTATTCTCAAATATGAAAATTGGAATGCAGAGCAACAATATGTAAGGAAATAAAAGTAATGTAACATATTCTGTCGATTCCCTAAACTATGTTAATAAGGAGTAAAAGTTGGGTTCGGAAAGACAGAATAATATTGAAATGTTTGTTTTTTTTAGGTGGTTTGATAAATCATTTTCGATGCTCATAACCAAGGATGGATATGCGGCTCTAAATTTTGAACACTCATGGGGAGATGGAGTTGCTATCCTTCGATATTTCCAAGACATGTTGAAAGACAGTTCTGAGAATCCACGAATTCACCCAGACACAAAGCCATCCAACTGTAGACCAGAGAGTTTGGTCAGAAAATTAGGTAAGTATTCTGTGTCTTATTACAGATGGGCAAAACATGTGTTCCTTGAGTCTAGGTGCACAAATTTTGTTTTCACTTCCAGCATATAATTTGTATATAAATTTACTACTAGTCTGCAATGTTATGTTTAAGAAGATTTATGATGTATTTTAGAGTTGGTGGTAGATCCACAGTGCACCTTTTTCAAATGCACAGTAGATTTCAGCTCAGTTTTGTACCACTGTGTAGATGTAAGTAGTAGTTATATAGTAGTAATCAGTGTTGTGTGCTGAGTGTCTATTGATGATTTAAAGCACAAATATTGGATGTCCAATATGTACCATTTTCTGTAAACTCACCTTAAAGGCAGCCATACATACAAAATTTTTCTAAAAGTTTGGGGAGAAAATTGTGCATGGGCAGATGCTACCGCTGCAGATGTCCATTCCAATTTGTTTCACAAAACCTCAACCGCAGATTTTAACTTCTGCTCTTCATAGACACATACACGCACTGAGGCTATGATGATTCCTAGTAGTAAGGTTTTTTGTTCTTTTTCTAAAAGGTGTGTGATTATGTTTTTCCTTTTCACAAAACCAACTCTTAACCCACTTGGAATGACTTTTTTTTTTGTGGCGCTGNTTTCACAAAACCAACTCTTAACCCACTTGGAATGACTTTTTTTTTTTTTTTTTTTGGCACTGCAGCCCCAATTTGGGCCTAGGCCTACCTCCATGAAACTCTCCGTTTCACTTTGGTTTACTAGATCTTACACATTCGGTAGGACTCCTTGGGCGAGTGATCAGCTCGTCGCAAGGCCTCTACCTGTAGACAAACACAGAAAAACGCACACAAACATCCATGCCCTGAGTGGGATTCGAACCCACGATCCTGGCTTCCGAGCAAGTGAAGACAGTGCATGTCTTAGACCGCTCGGCTACCGTGACCGGCGGAATGACATGTAGATGTATTTATTAATCACTGATTATTAATGTACACCATGGCATGACAAATATCATATATTTTCTTACACAAATACCTAACTTCCCTGATGTTGAGAAAACTGTGTTCGGAATTTTTAACGAAGGCTAAAGACTTTAGTCCTAATCAGATTTGCAGATCTTAGAGGTTTTCACCCACTGACACAAGATTTTATCTATAGTGTATTAAACTGATATATTAACCTTTAGCTTCTTTTGCACATCAGTGGCCAGTAGTAATTCTGATCCATCACAGACTTTAACCACGCTACAAGCTGGAAGGTCGTGGGATCAAATTCTGATGAGGTGGATTTTTTCAATTTACCTAATCCTTCCAGCCACACTATGGGCCTGGGGTCGACTCACCCTCTAAAAGAAATGAGTACCAGGAATACTCCTGGGGGTAAAGGGCGGCCAGCACGTAAGGCTGACATCCTCACCATTTGTGAGTCAATTGTCTAGAAAATGTGGGAGCCTCAAAATCTCACAACCCTATGAGCCTCCACAGCCTGTTACAGGGATAGCTTTACCTTTTTTTCAGACTTTAACCAAAAACTTCTCCATTGTGGTTCAGGCTTGCAGTTGAAATCATGTATATGTGACCCTTCAGTGCTCTGGTAGGATATGGAATGTTTTTCAGTCCTTACATTACAGAGTTTTTTCTGGTCTTAAATATGGTTGTGCAGACCAAAGGAAACTCGTGTAGCAGTCATGGAACACCACTTGAAATTGGGTAAATGTGAACATATAACATTTGTGATCTCTGCCATCATATTCTAACAGATTTGTGATTTATCTGATTGTAGTATATATTGATGTTGCTATTCTGGTATCTTCTCTAGTCATTTCTTACCTTTGAACCTCAGTTTTTCTGTACATTTCAGCATATAACTTCGAGGTCTTGAGCATTCATAATTTTCCTGTATCCCTTTCCTCTTCATTTAAAATATCCATTTCATAGTCATCACTTCTTCACTTCAGCATCAACAGAACTTACTGCTCATTAGTGTGTAATTTTATGTGATCTGGCTTTGTTCATTCTAAAACTGTAATTCATGCTGATATTATTTTGATCTACCTAACGGCACTTTTCACTTTTATTTTGTTAACAGAATTCAAATTGGATGATAAAGCAAAAGATTATGTTTCTCAAGGTAAGAAAAATTATGAGGCCTTCTGCAATTCCCTTCACATCACTTACATCGAGATTCTAAATCACGGTAGGAAGGACTGCAGGAATTTCAAAGTTAGCCCGGATTCACTCATGCAGCTCGCTTTTCAGGTAAGAGATTTGTAAATCTTATACGACTAAATATAGTAGAACCCTATATACACACTTTGCAAACAAGAACTTAAGAACAGCAATAATTCAATTCAATTCAATTCATGTTTATTTATGTGCAAACTTAACAGCACAGAAGCCAATTACAAAGTTGTACGAGTACATAGAAACACACAAATAATTAAAAAACTAAATACAAAATATGACAGTCTGTATAATGGCAATAAATTAATAATAATTCCAAGGAAAATTAAAGTAAGCGTTAACAGGCGAGAAAAATAAAACAAGTAAATTTCCANTTCAATTCTTATTTATTTACATGCTAATTTAACAGCCTAAGGCCAATTACAAAGTTAGCGTGAATAAAGATACAGAAACAGATGCACAGAAACAAAGCCACAAAGTGACAGTGAAGAACAATTCAAGCTGGAAATAGATCAGTATACAATAATAATAATAGTAATAATAATAATACAGTAAACTCCCCATTACTCATGCATCATGGGCAATAGAGTCTACCAGATGCATGAGGAGAACTCATGCAGAAACATAGTACCGAGTCAGAACACGTTTTTGCTGCTGGAATAGTGTAGTCAGTATAGCGACTAGCTACGGGCTTAACAACCGAGGGGTTGGAGTTCAAGTCCCGGAAGGGTCAAGAATTTTCTCCAATTAGTCAAGACCAGCTCTTGAGGTCCACCCAACCTCCTATCCAATGGGTACCAGGTGCTCTTTCCGCGGCGGTAAAGGGGCCGTGGCGTGAAGCTGACCACTCACTTCCAACTAGGGCTGAGGTCAAGAAAATGTTGATCTATACATCCACTCAGGCATATGCCTTCATGGCGTAATGGTTAATTAGTTAAGCACAGGGATTACTTTACTTTAGAGGAGCAATCTTAGATGACATAGCAGATTGATGCGTGAAAATTATTTGATACATATACGAGGGGCAGTCAAAAAGTTCCCAGAATGGTGGTATAGCACTCTTATGGTAGGACATATGGCAACGCTTACCTAATCACCTTCAAAGTAGGACCCTTGCGCGCGCGCACACACACTTGCTCCACCGATCCTGCCATTGTTGGAAGCAGTGGTGGAAGGCTTCTTTTGGAATCTTCCGGAGCTCAGCCGACGCATTTGATTTGATGTCCTCCATGGTTGCGAAACGTTTCCCCTCGAGGCCCATTTTCAGAGTAGGGAACAGCCAAAAGTCACTCGGAGCGAGATCCAGAGAGTATGGTGACTGAGTGATGACAGGAATGTTTTTCTTGGTGAGGAATTGCTGCACAACAAGCGATGTGTGGCTCGGTGCATTATCATGATGCAGAAACCACTGTCTCTGCCACTTGTCACGCTGCTTCCTCCGAACCGCATCGCGCAACCTCTGTAAAACTTGCACGTAGAAATGGCCAGTAACAGTACCAACTCCGCGATGGTCATTCTTCGATTACATCGAATCAGTTGTCCCACTTTTCCAATCATTTCTTCGGTTCTGGATTTCGAAGGTCTCCTGCTGCACTGGTTATCCTGTAATGTCTCCTACCCATTCTTAAACTGGGAAAACCAGTCGTAAACTGCAGATTTCTTTAGTGCAGTATCATTGTAAATTTGCTGCAGGGCCAATAGCATCTCTGAAGCAGATTTTCCCAATTTGCACATGAAGTTGATGTTTGAATGCTGTTCGAACTGCGACATTGCGCCGAATGACCAACACTCACGTCTAATTCAAATGGAACGGTAGCGACATTGCACACTGAAATCTGTCCAGACCTGTTGCGCATGCGGGCAGACATGCTGAGCTTCCCACCACAACAGCGTGTGCGCTATCTTATCGCTTGTTCTCAATCTGCAGGAGAATTCTGGGAACTTTTTGACTGCCCTACATACTGTAATGCAATCACAAATATGACACCTGCATGAAGGAGAATGAGGGATAGTACTGCTAGGGGTGGCTAGGAGAAATGCTATGTGGTGGGTGAACATATGCGCATTGCATATTTTTGAAGAACTTCATAAAAATATTAAGTTTTATTTGAAATTATTGGAAGTTGGATGAGAATTCCAGATGCTTGGATTCTGGATAACGGGGAGTTTACTGTGTTGTGATCTGTATTACAGTGTAATAATAAAATCATATTTCATTGCACAGTTCATTCACTGCCAGTCTGTACAGTAAAATCAAGAGAAAATAAATTTCTGTATAGTTCATACAGTCTATTCATATGTATGAAAGATGATAATTTGTCACGTTGGAAGGGGTAACGGTAGACATAAATTTCTGACGTTTTCTTCAGTGTGGATTGGCAGGAAATGTTGTTTGTTGTTTTCTGTGCATGGATGTGGTTTTCGCTATATAAATAGAATAGACATTATGTGTCATGCCACAGAAAGCATACTGAGTGTGATGTGGATGTTTGAGAACTGGTATTAAAAATGAGTTCTTGGGTGTACTGCTTCTTGAAGTCTCTCTTTAAGAAAATGTTTAAGTTTTATATGTAAGTTAAATAAACATTTATATTTGGTATGATGGGTTATATAGGTGACTGCCTCTGTGGCATAGTGGTCAGAGTTCCTGGGTAAGATTCCTGGTGCTACCAGATTTTCTGAGAAGTAGTGGGTCTGAAACGGGGTGCGCTCTGCCTTATGATGATAATGGAGGAGCTATTTCAAGGAAATAGTGGCTCCGGTCTAAAAAACCAAGATTAACAGCCATGGGATCCATTTCATTGATCATGTGACACCCTCTATCCACTAAAGTTGGCACTGACTTTGCTGACCAGCGGCTGTTGCTCTGTCAGTATAGTTTGCTTGTGGACTAGAGGCCGTGGAGTTTATGATGGGTTATGTCAGTTGTATAACAAGTTACATTCATTTATATTTGAAAGCTAGTGCTGTTTTTAGTAAAATATCAGCTTGAAACTTCTAGGTGGCATTCCACAAGCAAGTTGGGAAGTTTGTGGCTACCTATGAGTCTAGTAGTACAGCAGCCTTCAAACATGGAAGAACAGAAACTCTCAGACCATGCACAATGGCTACAAAGGTGTGTTTTAAATATCGGTATGTAGTATAAAATGTTAATACAGCCAGCCATTAAAATACAGGCTGATTTTTATTTTGGAAAGAAATGTTTGATACTTTGAGTTTGCTGAATCAGTTGTGTTGGCAATTTTTGTTTTAGCATGGTTTCTAAGTCAGAGGTAAAATCCTACTGCAAAGTGTCATGCACATATTTTCATGGCTTTTTAATGATTTCATATATCAGTGTTTTAACATAAAAAAATGAGAAGTTTAAATTCAGTTTCACTGTCTTATGCTTTGTTATTTGTCACTAGTAAGTCAAACATATTCTTTTGATGTCAAGTTCTTTATAATTCATTCCTGTTTCTGTTTCCTTCGTGTGTGTATGGTATGTTCACTCTGTCACACTAATTTAAAGGTCGCTGTTTGATGTCTTTTGCCCACTTCTGTTCATGATTTGTATGGGTGACGCCATTTTTTAGGCAGTTTGCTGTTTGCATCTTGGCATTTTGAAATGTATTATTTTGTGTTGGTAGTACACCCGTCCCCACACGCTTTACTTCACGCGGTGTATGCCTCGACTAAATTCAGCGGAATGAGCCTTATATCCCAGGGGTACACGGGTGTTGGCTCGCTTACATCGTTTTTTGGATGCGGGCTCGATCGGTTAACCCCCTAGCACAGGTTCCACCTGAACTTCCTCACTCCCTGGCTTCTACTCCCTCACTCCCCTATTACCACCGCTGCTTTTAGAAACCACGTTGTTACCCATCTCGAACTTTCCACTGGGAGNCCATGGACTCACCAACCTCCCTTCTGTCCCTCGCAACAAAAGGCCAGTTCAGAGGACCATGAACCCTCCGGGGCATCTCACTTCCACAGCCAAACACAATCGCTAAGCATAAACAGATAAGATACCTCCGTGAAGGGTGCGTACGGTTACAGTAGTACACAGACCATTTATTGAGGCAGTTAGTTTCATATACTTTATGTTTGTGGAAAAATGGAAATAGGTAAATTTGAGTCATAGAAAACTAAAACAGTGAATTCTGACATCACTATGAAACTCAGTTATGAACTACATTTTGTGTAGGTGTATAGGTACATTTGTTGGTTAGTGTATTATGAAGAACTTGTCTATAGTTCATTCGCGGAGACAAGACAGTTAGCGTAAACAAAGCAAGCCCCGCGTCGCCACAGCTGACAGCAAGGAGTGGACAAAGTGCGCAGTTACTTCGGTGTACTCACTGCATTCTGACGCATGTTAACCTGCGTTCAGACTGAAGAATGAACTTTGGACGCCCCTGCAAGGTTACACGCATCACGTGATCACTGCATGATTTCATTCAAAAAGCGAAGGAGGTACCGTGTGCATTTGTTTATGAGGACACTCTCGTCTCCGCGAATGGACTATAGTGATTTGATGATTATGTGATTTTGTGTAGGTGACGTTTACTTTCTTAGTGATCATGATCCCTGCAAAGCTCTTTAAATGGGTGTTACTGTTGCTAACACTTATATAAAAGATTATGAAATTAAAGACAGAATAACCTTACACTGAATTATGTTTTTGACACTTGGTGCTGTGATATAATTCCCACCTTTTTAATAGTAACATTACAATTATTGCAAATTTGCTTGAATTTGTAATTTCATTTTATTTTCAGACATTCTGTGAAGCTGTGAATAGGTCTAACAGACCAAGCAATTCAGAGTTAGCTGCAATGATTAAGAAGTGTTCAGAAGTTCATGTTACTCTCACAAAAGAAGCTGCTATGGGTAATGCTAATGGTCTTTAGTATAAAAGGCGAAGAAGGACTGTGTGATACCATGGGTTTTTATTTTCAGTGGTGAATCTTTGGTTCTCTTATACAAGTAGTATAGAGTTATGTTTGAAAGTTATGATTGTAGTTCAGTTGCTACTCCACTGCATATAATACAAGTGATAGATATGTAAGAATCCGGTTTTATTGATATCTGTTGCACTAGTAAGATTTGTTCTTGTTTTGTAAGTCTTTGGTCTTATTTTTGACATCACATTTTTGTATCTTTTTAAAATTATTTCCACATTTTTCCATTCTCTGTTCTAAGTTCATACATATGGGAGAAAGAGGATGAAGTATTGTATAAGGAAATCAGTAAAACTTAACACTTTCATACTCTAGTGCAGTTCCCTGATTTTCATGGTACCATATCTTCCAGACCATAAGGCATGCCTGGATTATAGACGGCAAATTTTAGGAAAAATATTTTATGTTTTAACTCAAATTTAGCAGTATCTATGGAGTAAAAAGTTGCAGCAGCATGAGAAACAATGAGACAGGAAGTTTCAACTCATAGAGCCCAGTGACTCATTACACTCATTACTGATATTATGACTTGTCACTTTCTTGAATGATGTAGAAATTTTCTCACGTTTCAATAACTGCTACAAGAATATGTAACTGAGACATTCACTGTCAGAAATTGGCTAGGAAGTAAAAAAATAAAAAAAAGTAAAGCTATCCCTGTACCAGACCGTGAAGGCCCATAAGGTTGTGAGACATTGAGGGTCCCACATTATCTAGACAGTCGGCTCAAAGATGGTGGTGAGGTTGTCAGCCTTATGTGCCAGCCATGCTTTACTCCCCAGGAAACTTATTAAATTAATTCCTGGTACTCATTTCTGTTAGAGGCTGAGTCGACCTCAGGGCCATGGTGTGGCTGGAAGGATTAGGTCAATTGAAAAAAAATTTAATGACCTCATCGGGATTTGAACCTGCGACCTTCCGGNTCTGTGGATTGTTTTTTTTTTTTTTTTTTTTTTTTTTTTTTTTTTTTTTTTTTTTTTTCACTGTCAGAAATTGGCTAGGAAGGCCTCCTGGGATTACAGCTAACTGCATGCTTGATTTTACAAGTTCTTTTTATTGCCTCTGTTGTGTGCCCTGGTCACACACTCTTCAGAAGATCACATGGATGTTTTGATCACACTTTCTTTGGTCACAGCTTAATTCCTTTACAGTACATAAAACCCAGATGTTTTATATGGTGGTGTTATACATATGGACAGAGTGCAGTATTAATCAGCATATTTGTAGTGAAAACTATGCTCCTGATGGTTGGTAAATGTGGCAAATGTACCCTGTCACCCAGATTTGATAAGCAAATTATGGACTCCCATGATGGTAAGTCTTAATGTAATTTATTTTCAATTAATCATATTTTCTGTATTTTGTAGGTCAAGGATTTGATCGTCATCTATTTGGACTTCGTAGGCTTGCAGAGCAAGGTGGAGGAAAGTTGCCTGCAATCTTCCAAGATCCAGCATATGCTGCCATAAATCACAATATACTTTCTACTTCTACACTTTCATCACCTTCAGTCAGAGCTGGAGGGTTTGGACCCGTTGTAAAGGATGGATTTGGTCTAGCGTAAGTTTTAAGCTTTCATTTTTATTTATATTATTATATCTTATATGGTTGGAGCTGGAACAGCTCAGTTGGTATAGCAACAAGCTATGGACTGGTCTGCTGAAGAACTGGGCTTCAATTCCTGGCAAGGGCGAGAGATTTCTGTCTTCTCTAAATTAACGTGACTAACTCTTGGGCCCTGCCACCCTCATATCAGATAGATACTGGGGGCTCTTCCCCTAGGGGTAAAGTGGCAAGTGCATGAAAATGATCACTCACTCCCATCTAGTGCCAAGGTTGAAAATGGTGGAAATATGCCTCCACTTCCGCAAACATTACCATGGCGTGGTGCTTAATCACTGAAGCACAAAAAAGACTTTACCATTTACCTTCATTTTGCATGAAATTAAATTTATTTATGTTCCATAAATCCAAGTAGTGGTTGACACCATAGGATATGGAACAAGTACAAATACATAATATATATACAATAATAGTTTAGCTTGAAAAGTTAATAGGATTATAATACAGTATTAATATTATCATGCTAATTGGACGCACACACGTGTAGTAGTTGAACGTGGTATATCCGTAACACTTGACTGGATGCTGAGGACTGAATGCATGCCTTGTTGTCTCCAAGTCTAATTCCAGTGGAGTTTTCCTGTAGGGTCAACAGAGGAGCACATTTATGCAGTCCATTCCATGCCTATCAAAGATCTCATGGCAAAATTTCAAGCAGCTGCAATAGCAGTTGATGCCAACATGTTAATTCCGTATGGCACAATGCTGTCTGTCTTAGGATGCTGCTTTGAACACTTATTGTTAACTATAAGGCCCCCATAGTTTCATCATTTGATAGCTTGTGCCATTTGATATTGACATGCTTCTTGAAAACTAAATATCACAGGATATATCCTGTACACGTGACTGCCTCTGGTCTAATGGTCAGAGTTCCTGGCTACAGGCCTACAGGTCCCGGGTTCGATTCCTGGTGCTACAACTTTTTCTGAGAAGTAGTGGGTGTGGAATGGGGTCATGAGAATAATTGAGGAGCTACTTGAATGGAAAAGTAGCAGATCCGGTCTAGGAAACCGAAATTAATGGCTGTGGGATTTGTTGCATTGACCATGTGACACACCTTTATATGCTAAAGTTGGCATTAACTTCGCTGACAAGCGGCAGTCGCTCAGTCGGTATAGTTCACTTGCAGACTAGAGCCACAGAATTTGTTTTTTGTTTTGTATCCTGTACAGTATTTTTGACTTGCTTCTTAACAGGGAACCACACTGAGTACAGTGTATTTCTATTCAATATGTTTATTTACTGTTTTATTCAGCTATAGCATATGGGACGAAAGTCTAGGTGCTGTTGTGGCAAGTTATCCTCCAGCAAGAGATGGTCCAGGCTACATAGACTGCTTAAGAGCTGCCTTTGATGATATTTTTGAAATCTTGAAGTCATCAAACACATGAAGTGGAAACATGTTATATTCTATGCAATTCCAACTGAAAAGTAAGATACAGAGTTGTCATAATATCTGCTTTTCCTTCGTGGCCTTTTATATAAGTGTACAATTATCAATCAAATACTGAAGCGTTTGTAAAGAGTTTTTTTATGGCTGTTACTGGGTGATAGGTGCACTGGATATGTTTAGAAGGGCACTGGCCTTTACAGAAGAAATTGGATACAATTGGAAGTTTCAGTCTGGTATCTGCAGTTATGTAACACAACTTATTTTGCATTGGCAGAGTGAAGTTCAATTAGCACAATTATTACACATTATGGGTGCCATATGTAATGTAGCTTGTACTGTAAAGTAAAATCCAAGGCAAAGGGACATTGAAGGCATTCTGTGTCAGATCATGCCATAAAAATGCAGTTTTCAGCCAGGCCTCCTTGAATTTCAGTTGTATGTGTTATGTGTCATTCCAAGTCAAAGAGCCCAGCTGGTCTGTATTAAACATGGGCATGTCATATCTCATGGAAGTATGTTTCATTACTGGTCGAGTGAGCCAAAATTAAGCTCCAACTCAATTAGGGCTAGAGTTAGAACAGTCTTTGCATAGTGTGTTACGAAAAAAAAAAGCCATCTGTTTCAGTCTCCATTTCTGCTATAAAAAACTGTTAAGAGTGTAGAGCACATGTCTGCAACCAGTGGCCTATGGGTGGGTCTTGTGACCTGTGAATCCTTTTTGTGAAGCTCATCTATGAATTATAATAAACCAAAAAGTGCAGAACTTTAGGGAATCATTCAACATTCTATGGCCAAAGTAAAATAATTTGAAAACTGTAACGATATCGGATAAAATATAACTGTTGTATGTATACAACAAACATACCTATGCACTAATGATTATATTTTTATTTCTTGTTTATGTGTGAGTTGTGCATCCTACACTAAAAGGTGGAAGTTGGATGCAGTTTGCCAGTGCCAAAAGATTGCCAACTCTTGGTGTAGGAAACTAAAATTTGCCATTTTCATTCATTTTGATTAAAAGTTGGAACCCTCATACATACAGCAACACTGATGATATATGTAATGCCATAATTTCATAACTTATTGAAGTCTACTCCAAACTTTATAAGAGGAAATGGTAGCTTGTACACACAGAAATATGCGATTTTGTAAATGTTTTTGTTACACTTCATATGCCATGACTTAGCAGTACAATATTTCACCAAACTTTGTGTAATACTTATACTATGTTTTGATACAGCATTTTTATAGTTAAGTTTTCTAAGTCATAAATTGTCAGAAAGTGAATGTTAAGTCATAACTTGTTCTGTCTTTACAAGGACTTACTGTTTACCACAGAGTTTCAAGTTTCTGATAGAAATAAAGTGTTGTCTATTATACTACAGTATATTTCATCATACCCCAGGATTTTCTTTAGTATGTTATTCTGAAAATTCCAGAAATATATTGTGTGTCCCTTTTGCACATATGCTGAAAGAGTAATACTTGTACAACCACATTTCACAGATAGAGACACGCTCAACTTCATTTGTAGACTTGAGTGGGTTATGTAAGATGTGAATGCTGTCTTTACTGAAAGCACAAGACAGGCAGTGGTGAATACAGCCTATATTCATCCTCTGTCTTCATTCTAATGCTGTAAAGAGTTAGTTTATCTTAGCACTTCTGAACAAATATGAAACTATGTAAGTTTTGAGGTTTTCACGGCAATGACAATGAAGAAAGTTGTCTTCTGGGTTTAGGCACTGTGTATTCTTTGTTTTGGCCGACGTTTCGGAGGACCGTAGCGCCTCCATCTTCAGAGGAGTTGAATAGCTGCGGAGAGCAGTAGCTGTGGTGCCTAAACCCAGAAGACAACTTTCTTCAAATATGAAACTGTACGAAAAAAATTATTTGTACATGACTTCAGAATTGAGTTTCTAGCCTCATTCTTTAATTCGTAGTTTAATGGTAATATGAAAAGTATATATAAACATATTTTAGTCTCTTGAATTTATATGTGACAGTTATGAAAGGAATGTAGGGATTTTGTTCAAGTCATTGTCTAAAATGACCTCTGAGGTTATGTTATATTTGAGTAGTGGAAGAGAAGCCTTGTGTGTCTGAGATCTCTGGTATTACAATTTTGGTTCCCACTGTACGAGGGGGGACCCAAAAATAACAGGAAACGACCTCTTGCGTGCGCATGCTTTGTAGTTATGAGTTGTGCTGCTAGGTGGTGTTAGCTGGGGGTCTCCCGTGACTGTTAGTGAGCTGGCGTCAGTCTGAGTTAAGTGGTTTGTCTGTGGTGCTCTGTTGTGTGCGTTCCTGTTTCAACCCTTTGGCGATTAGTGGGATGGCTGACCAGAAGGAACAAAGAGTGTGCGTGAAATTGATGAAGATCGTTGAAAGACCATTGACCAACTTTCTGAGGAAACGAACATCTCATGGAGCACGGTCCAGCGAATTTTAACCGAAGGTCTGCAGATGAAACGGGTGTCTGCAAAATTTGTTCCTCGCTTGCTCGGATATGACCAAAGAGAAAACCGCGTGAATGTTTGCCGCGACTTGAAGAGTGAAGTGCAGTTTTCCCTAACAGAAAGCAAAATTTCATGCACACTCTTTGTTCCTTCTGGTCGGCCATCTCACTAATCGCCAAGGGGTTGAAACAGGAACGCACACAACAGAGCACCACAGACAAACCACTTAACTCAGACTGACGCCAGCTCACTAACAGTCACGGGAGACCCCCAGCTAACACCACCTAGCAGCACAACTCATAACTACAAAGCATGCGCACGCAACAGGTCGTTTCGGGTTATTTTTGGGTCCCCCTTCGTATGATGAAAACAAAACCTAGTAACCTTCTAATGACAACTTAACGACCTATGTTGCTGATGACAGCACACCATTAAAGATATTCTAGACACAGTATACTGTTTTCTTAGAGTGAAACAATAAAGTTGCCTTTCTGACAAAAGATTTAGAGTTTCATTCATTTCTGCATATTCATCATTCAGAAGCTGTCCCTGTAGCTGGCTGTGGAGGCCCATAGGGTTGTGAGATGTCAGGGTGTCCACACTTTCTAGACACTCTGCTCATAGATGGCAGTGAGGTTGTCAGCCTTACGCCTCAGCTGCCCTTTACCCCCAGGATGATTCTTGGTACTCATTTCTGTTAAAGGCTGAGTCAGTACCAGGGCGAGAATGAGGGTGGAAGGATTAGGTCAATTGAAAAATCCAGTGGCTTCATCAGGAATCAAACCCACAACCTTTTGCCTGGTGCCACAGTGCCTCAACCAACTATGCTACCACATGCCTTATCCATTATTCAAACCAATCTTATTATGAAGCATGTGTTATAAATTATACATCTTATGTATCTTGTAAATGTGTCGCAAGAGTTTTGGAATCCATGTCTGTATCATTCTCTTAATTCCAAAAAGTGTGTTCTACCATAATGCAGACTTTGTAAACCTAAATTCACCAAAGTTTTTTTCTCTGAAATCTCTATAAAAAAATGATGGACATTCTGCCTGGCCTGCTTCTCAAGTTGAATCTCGGGCCTCCCATTTGTTCCTTCAGCAGTCAAAAGAAATGTAAATTGGTGGGAGTTAATTCTTGCTTATAAGGAGATTGGGGCAGCGTAAAAGCATATTCTTGCCCATTTCTACTTTTGGCATCATTTTCTTTTCTGCTCCTACCTATCCAGATAATGAGCCGGGATAGCACAGTCGGTACAGCAACTGGCTGTGAGCTGGACAACCAAGTGATCTGAGTTCCAGTCCTGATGGGGGCAAGAATTTTTAATTCTGCATGTTGTCCAGACTGGCTCCAAGGCCCACCCAGCCTCCTACCAGGGGCTGTTTTCCCGGGGGTAAAGCGGCCGGGGCGTGAAGCTGACCACTCATCTCCAACTAGTGCTGAGATCAAGAAAAGATAGTCTACACATTCACTCCTCCATAAGAGTTCATGGCGTAGTGCTTAATTAGTTAAGCACAGGAACAACTTTACCTTTTTTTTTACCTTTAGCCACCAAGCTGAATGAACTCTCCAAACTTACATATGCTGTGAGAACCCTCACACAGTGGGGCATGAAGCTGACCACTCACCTCCAACTAGTGCTGAGGTCAAAAGAATTTGGATCTATACATCCACTCCCCATACGCCTTCATGGCATAGTGCTTAATTAGTTAAGCACAGGGACAAGTGTACCTTTTACCCTCACACAGTACAGACCGAGATTTTCTAATCAATTTTCTCCACAATAGCACCTATGTTTTGTACCAAGTGATCACTTCCATTCTCTATCGACTGAGAATTATTAATGCCCTTAAAAATACAGAATTAGAAATCATAAAAACATGACCAAATTTAGTCCCATGCCCCCCTCCCCACCAATTTGATAGTTCCACTGTCTTTATATATTTGTATGGTACACTGAACCTAAAGTAAAAAACGATGTTAATAAGATGAGTTACTGATCAAATTGTCCATGTTGCTGAACAGTACTTGATAAACATAAGCAAGTTACCATGTCCTAATCAAGATCAGTGATAAATTGCTGAACAAGCTGAAAGCTCTGGTCATCCATCCATTTGCTGATGAAGATGATTGATGGACAAGGGTCCAAACAAGGAGGTGAAGGGTGTAGAAGTGGGTCAAATCCATAAAAGAATGCAGCAACAAAAGTACAGTGCTTTCTGTTATCACTTAGAAGGCAATATCTTGGAAAAATATTTTCAGAGATACCTGCTCAATATAATAATCTGTGCACTCTCTTTTCAGAGCTGACAACTGATCATGACTTTTTTAGCATGTACATGAAAAGTGAGAATACTTAAAAACCAAGAGCTGCATAAATAATGCGATATTAGGAAGAATTCTACCCTCTGCATACACCTAATAAGAGGTTTAATTCAAAACATAGTAATATAAGTTTTGACTACTGATTATTCCATATCTCACTGTATCTTTACCCATCTTTCATATATGTCAAGATCAGGCTCAGTCCTCCCTCAGGTCTCATGATCACTTTTCTTGTAACCCCAGAAAAATTCCTGGTACTGGTTTCTGTTCAAGGCTCAGTCAACCCCAGCACAGTAGTGCGGCTGGAAAGATTAGGTAAATTTAAAAAAAATCCACCTCCTCAGGACTTTAACTTGTGACCTTCTGGCTTGTAGTATACTGCCTCAACCAATTATGCTACTGTGTAACCTGCCTATATAACCCAGCCAATTCCTACACAACACTGAAGATGGATGCAACATGTTCCTCTGAACCCTCAGTATCCACCTACAATACTATAGGGTGTCACAGCCAAGAAGACCACAATCTGAATGTACAGTAACATTTCCAGCTAACCTAAAGTTAATATAATGAACTGGGTGGCACAGATCTGTGATATTTAACTGAAATTATAACACATGTACAAATTTAAACCCGCATACTGTAATATTAATTAGCCATATGAAATTTAATTATGCAAGTACATTCACCGATGAAACATATTTCACTGCCTTCTTTACAGGTATTTCATTATGAAACATACTTACTTACATCCAAAACCCTAAACATAAACTATTCTGTAGAAGTATTAAGTTTATTATGCGTTTTGTTCTGACTGCAATACTTTATACAAAGAACAAAGAACATTCTATATTAATATGCCATGTGGAAACAAAACAATATACTGGACAAATCATGTTGTGCTTCAAGTCCATGGATGAAGTCTCTAGAGAACAGACACACTTATCAAACAAAACTTGTACGCAAGATGCATGACAGAACAAACGTGACAGCATTTTTCAGCCAGTGATTAAAGACTGACACAAAGAGAAATTTAAAAGTGCCAGTTCACCTTTCATTCATCATGCAGGTCACAACATACGAGTACACAGGACACAATGATTAATGTCATGTTACATAGATGTTTGCAACAAATATATTGAATAAATGCATGAACATGTTTCCAACAGTTTCTATCGGAAAATGTAAACACTTGAAACAAAACTATATACAGTAAACTACTGGTTATCCAGTATGTATTGGGGGGGTGGGTGCTGGTTACATGAATGTGATAGTTGCTGGGGGTGGGGTGGGGACTTATAGAAATCAAAACAAGTTTTCACTTTAGCTCTTGCATCGGAATCTTCCTAAGTGATGCAGTCAGTGGATGAAAGATTTTGGATATACTGTAACATTATCACAAATTCAACTAGCTCCTACCACAAACCTCCTGTGTGAGAAGTGTATGGACAGCACTACTAGTGGCAGCTGGGAGAACTACCATGTGATGGGTAAATATATGCTCATTGTAACTTTTTTTACCAGTAGCCACAGCAATAAAAAGAAGGAAATGGATAGGACACACTCTACATAAAGATCAGAGTGCAACAGAGGCAAGCCCTGGACTGATATCCTCAGGTGCAGTGAAGGAGAAGCAGACCAAGAACCCGGGAAAGAACTGTTGAAGAAGAGGCCCGAAAAGCAGGAAAGATCTGTGGAGAGGTCAAGAGCCTGGCTGGGAACAGAATCCGTTGGAGATGCTTTATGGATGCTCCAAAATGGAGTGAAAGGAATTCACTGACTGACTGTAACTTGCTTTTAAGTAAGTTCTGGAATTTTTGCTAGCAGGAGAATTATGGATGCTTAGATACTGGGTAACCAAAATTTACTGTATTCCTTTATTTTCTGCTCACAAGGAATTGTACTGAGTTTCTCACTAATGTATACACTGAAGATAACTCTACAAAATAGGTAAGATCACACTAACCTCGCAAGATACATCACACAGTATTACTGTACAGGAATGATTTTCAAGTCACCAGAATTTTCTAAATTTTTAAAAAACTTAAATATGGACTTATTTACACTTAAATACTGTGCTCTGTATAATATTTACAATATCAGTTGAAGTGTTGATCTGAATATGCATAACCTACACAAAGATCTTTGGAAATGAGATTCCTACCAAGCGTACTTCACTTCAGTAACTTCATAATGAACATCAAATATAGGAAATGACATAAAAAAGGTTAAATATGAAATGTTATTACAGTACATATACATATTCTCACCAATTCTTCAACTATTACATGACATGACAAATACTTTAAGTAACTATGTACACTGCAACATAACACCAGCACCACAGATGCAGAAGTCAAACAACACCCTATCACTCAACTAAAAATATACAGTATTGTACACATTACACCAACACAATTTGTCACTATTACTCTTCTTTAGCGGGCTCACATCTTGTCACCCATTTTTACTTTGGAAGTCTAGAAAAGAAACAAATGCATCAGTATGTGGGCCATACACTGGTGATATAATGGCATGGAACTGTTCACAAATATTATTGATACAGGTCAGAACTAAAATAAGAAACAATATTGTAAAAATTTACAGCAATCAAAGGTTAATCAAAAGGTGTGTGTAAATTTTAATCTTCATTAATTAAAAATACTTATCTACAGAAGTCAACTCTAGCAGATAGAGGGTGTCCTGTGGTCAGTGCAACGACCGTTAATTTCGGTTTTCTAGACCGGAGCCATTATTTCCTTGAAATAGCTCCTCAATTATCCTCTCAAGGCTGAATGGACCCCATTCCAGACCCACTACTCAGAAAAATCTGGTAGTGCCAGGAATTGAACCTGGACCTCTGGATCTGTAGCCAGGAACTCTGACCACTAGACCACACAAACTTCACTGACAAGCAGCGGTCGCTCGGTTGGTATAGTTCGTTTGCAGACTTAAACCACAGAGTTTGTTTGTTTTATCTACAGAAATCTATGAGCCAACAAACATTCTGATTAATTTTGTGACGTTTCATAAAAATTGTTTATCCGTGGCCTGTCATAAGCTTCTGAGACCGTGAAACAAAGTGAATGTGCATTATTAATTTTATTTTATGAAAATATACAGAACTATTTGCAGGTAAAGTATCTGATCTTAGCAACAAGAAATCAGTGTTTGTTAACATATCTCTAACAAGTCCCTCATTTCAGGAGACTAAGATAAACTGACTTCTTGAAATGTTGTCTTACCATGTATATTCCAACAATCAAACCAAACAGGCCAATAGCACTGCCAAAAATTTCTACAATCAAAATCTTTACAAACAATGCAGAATTAGCAGCATCAGCAAGAGCTGCACCAGAACCTGAAATAATGACACAAAATATATTAAGATTATTAACTTTAAATATTCTATTCAAATTCATAAACGAGGGAGTATATGCAGAATATACTTGCCTACAATTCCTACAGCTATGCCACAAAACAGGTTCACAAGTCCTACACTCAGTCCTGCACCAAACATTAAGTAACCAGACAGCCAGTTTTGACCACGAATTTCAGGAATGTCCATAGCTCTTGTAAAGGTAAATGGCTGAAGAAAAGAAATATTACACAAATAAAGATGAAATTTGTACTTCACGTCAACTTTTGTCAGAGATTTGAGGTTTCGGTATGTGAAGTTTTCAGCTTCTGTCAAATCTTTACACAGCCTCTACTTTTGCCATATTATATTTTCAATGACATAGGTAAATTGTATACATTTACTTCTAAATATTATTTACTGTAATACCTCAAGCATTCCGGACAAAACGATGGCAGTGATTAGACCATAAATTGCTACTGCTTCACAGAAAATAACAGATATCAAATTTTTTGTTTTTATGCGCGGTGCCTTCACACCTCCACCGACAATGCTCACACCTGTTGTATGGATCCCTCTGAAAAATAAGAAAACAGAGTAGTGCCAACAGTGCATTAGGATGTACACATAACTTCTCAGTTTGTTATGAATGTAGAACTTACAGAGCAGCACCAACCACAGAAAGTGCCACTGACAGACCAATTCCAACTGTTGCCCACATGTAAGGACTCGTTTGTTCCAGAAACCTGAAAAACAGTAACCAGTGTAACAGAAAACTGCTGATTCTAAGCCACACAATTACTGGATTAAATATAATATATACTCAACAGTTTTATTTAAAAATGCTGCAGAAAATTGTTGATTTTATCAACCATCTTATGTTTTTCTACAACTTTAAATATGAAGAACGCTGTCTTCTGGGATGTGGCGCCATGTAGATACTGTATAAACCAATGTTTCGGAGGAATGTATCGCCTCCATCTTCAGGTAGAAGATAAAAGAAAATATCTGCAAATGAGGAACCAGTGTGAGCACATGGCTGCAGACTAAGTGATAAGTCAACTGCTCATGCTGGTTCCTTGCTTGGAGATTTTTTCTTTCTTTCTTCTAGTTCAGATATTAAGGAATGACAATAACAGATCAAAACCTGACTGAGGAGGAAATTAAGAGGAGACTGAACTCGGGTTATGCTTACTACCATTCAGTCCAGAACCTTCTGTCTTCTCGTCTGCTTACAAAAACATAATGATGATAATATACAAAAGCCTGTGGTTCTGTATGGCCGTGAAACTTGGTCTCTGACATTAAGGGAGGAACACAGATTGAGGGTGTTTGAGGAGAATATTCAGACCAAAGAGGAATGAGGTGACAGGAGGTTGGAGAAAACTATATAATGAGTAGCCTCATAACTTGTATTCTTCCTCAAGTATAATTAGAAAGATCAAGCCAAAGAGGATGAGGTGGGCAGGACATGTGTCACGAATGGGGGAGAAGAGGAATGCATATAGGATACTGGTGGGAAAGCCAGAAGGAAAGAGACCACTGGTAAGACCAAGGTGTTGGTGGGTGGACAATATTAAAATGGATCTTAGAGAGATAGGATGGGATGGACTGATGTGGCTCAGGATAGGGACCAGTAGAGGACTCTTGTGAACACGGTAATGAACCTTCAGGTTCCATAAAATGGTGGGAAATTCTTGAGTAGCTGCAGATTTGGCTTCTTCTCAAGAAGGGCTCGGCTCCATAAGCAAGTAATTGCCCTGTAGATGGAGGTGATACGTTCCTCCGAAATGTCTCTTTATACAATATCTGCATGTAGCCACAGCCCAGAAGACAGCATTATTTGTAGTCACTGCCATGAAAACCTCAAATCTTACAACTTTAAATATATTAACGTTTTCACTGATGATTCTGCCTAGAGTATTTATTTATAATTGTTCAGATTTACATCTGTGGTCACTTTCTGCATCATGACCATATTGCAGTCAAAAACTCAAGCCGCTCAGTATTCTGGAATGGTATATTTGGTACACAAAATGTCCATGCTTTCTGCAAATGTCTGAATTTTCAAAGTCACTACTGTACATTATTCACTGCAAAATTGTTAACAGCATTATGGAAAAGTAGAGCATTACACAGGTAGGGAAATTAAAATAATTAAATTAAGATGTAACACTTGCCTTGGAGTTTCATGGTATTTTTCAACACCTAAACTTACCAGCCAACACTGACACGTTCTCCTTTCCCAGTGAAGACATAATAGAGAACTGTAACAAATTCAATCACTTTTACATCACTTAAAAATAATTTAAGGTTAGAAATTAGATGTGTGTTCAGGAACTGGAAGTGCATATATTTGAAACTGACTGATTAATTTGATATACTTTATTATAGTCCGTGTTACAAACTTAACACTTATTCATAATGTTCTTTCAAACTTTAAAATCACAGTGTTTACAAAAGGAAAAGTTGGATCAGGAAACAGGCATATATGCAGATGAGTCTGTCTTGTTAGAAATACTATAAAACTACACGTATGAAAGTTATAGAGATCAGCTTTCCCCAGTTTAATGATTTTATTCTGAGGCCATGGAAAAGAGTCTCATTGCATGACTGCCTCCACACCTCCTCTGAGCTGTTATACTTCTCCTTCCAGCATACTAATGACTGAACACTTCACAACTCAAAAAATTACATACATGGCTTCAATTTCTGTAAAGACTGTTTGTTGTACATAACATTAAGCATACAGAAACAGGTGTGTAAGAATTCAGTGGTTGTCTTATTTTATACTCACATGTGAAAATGACTTTATTTTACTTAAATGATTATAATTTTATTCATATCACGTTCAGTAATGAATGAGCAAACAGTAACTATGGGGCATCTACTTATCTGGGGAGCAATATATAAATATGAAGTTCGAGGACTAAGGTACATGATTAAAATGAAAATACAGAATATTCATAATCGTAATAAAATATAAAAAAAACTGTTTTGCTAAATAAAGGCCCGATTCTCATATGATGTTGAAAAGCAAAATATTTTAGAACGGTAAAGCACGGGGCAAACTTTATGTAACACAAACTTACTGATCACGATTAGTGCAGCGGACCCTGTTCCAAGGAACGTATATGCAACACGTGTGCGCAACATAATATAATTACACAAAAACAAATGTCCTTATTTCAACGACTTGATTTTGTACACACCACAAACTGATCAATGAGCGAAATCATGTGACAGACGACAGCGTAGGCATCAAGCGGTCGTGCTATGAAATATAAACAAGAGAAGTATCGATAACGCAATTCAAGCTAGATTTTAAACTGATATAGACATTTCCCCTTGGTGTTGATTTGAAACTGAAGTAGGACGTAATTTGGATAAAACATATTCATACGCACAGTACACCTTACGCAAGGAATTGTAGCCACATGCATCTCTATGTTATTGCCTGGCAATGTAGCCGCCATGACGTTAATAATGAATTATGCTGCCATCTATTCGCAGCGTTCAGGCCAACGCTGCGATCCGAGTATTATCGGGTAACAGAGAGAGAATTTAACAAATTTAACCCATTTGACAAATCAGTGGTGTTGCTCGGTGGGTGTTGTTGAAGTGTTAAGTGAAGAGTGTTTCAGTTATTGGCCTGTGGTTTCATAAAATTTAAAATGGGAGTTATTAGAAAGAGTGACCCAAAATTGGGAAAATTTGACTCGTCGGAGGAATCTTTGAAGTAAGCGTTCACATTTACGTAATCGATTTTATAAGGCCCGTTATATTTGAAATTGCCAAAGATTACGCCAACAGCACTTCGGTGTTCAAATTCAGATTTATTATTAGACTTCCAAACGTATTGTACATTTAAATTCATGTCGTAAGGTATGGCATTATGTAACACTGGCATAGATTTAGTGTGTTACATTCCTTTTATGTTATATTGGACCTTCATGTTTGCAATTTTGCCTTGTTTGTTACTTACCGTTTATTATTCCAGCCTTCAGAGTATCAGCAAATGCAGTGTGACAGATGCCTGAGGAAATAGTAAATGAATACAGTATAATGCACAGGTCTCAATTAATGAAGGTTTTTGTGAAGTTAGAGATCTAAATTGTAGTCTTACAGTAAATGAATCTTATGTACCTTTAGTGGTTCCCCCCCCCCCTTGGCACTACAACCTCAGTGGGCCTAGGCCTACCTCCATGAACTTCTCTGACCTTTAGATTGATTGATTGATTGATTTATTTCATCACTGTAGATCATTGTACATGATATATGACAAGTCAAGTTAATTCTGAATATTAACAGTTGATATATAAGTATATTAAAATTACAATAGTTACAATTTTTACTGCTGATTACAATTTAGAATTAGTTAGATATTCTTATTTGTGGAGAATTTGATGGAATGAACATTGGCAGGGGAAACCGAAGTACTCGGAGGAAACCTGCCCCAGCGCCATTTTGTCCATCACAAATCCCACTTGCTCAGATCACAGTGGTGGGAAGCCAGCGACTAATCGCTTAAGCTATGGCGTGGCCTTAGAATAATGATATTGATAGCTAATGTAATGTTCTCAGCAGATTGGTGCCCTTCTTGATGGCCTGGTATTCTCGATCTCTCTCTAAGCGGCCTACGTAGACGTCCCTCCATCTCATGATGTCCTTTCTATCACATCCAACATGGTGTCTTGATTCCTTTAAGCAGAAGAGAACTGCGCAGTATACATTCATAGCATGCTGGTATAAGCTCAACAAGTCACTTATTCTTGAATTATCTGGTAATATTGATGTTAACTAGGATTTATCCCCAAACAAGAAGAATTCATCTATACTATAAAAACAATGTTCAAGTAGAAATGTTTTCAAAGTCTTTTTAAATTTGTATAGTGCTGGTATGTCCTTTATATATTGCGGCAAGTGGTTTAAAAGACGAAGTCCAATATTATTGAAGTTGTTTTTACACAGACTCGTCCTACATGGAACTATGAATAAGTTGTCTTTTTTTCTTGTATTGTGTGAGTGTACTGCTGAATTAGTGATGAAAACATTCAAGTTGGATTTCATGTAAACTAATATTTCATATATATACAGACTTGGTAGAGGTAATATATGTAACAATTTAAAATATTGTTTGCAGCTGGTTGTTTTTGTATTTACATTATAGTTCTAATAGCTCTCTTTTGTATCTTAAAGATCAATTTTGCATTCGCTGAATTGCCCCAGAATATCAATCCATATGATAGCAGGGACTGAAAATACGCATAGTATAAAGCAAGAACAGTCTCTAATCCTGATACTTTTTTGACTATTCGCAAGCCAAAACATATTTTACATAACTTACTTGCTAGTTAGTGTTGGTAGTTGCAAATCATTCATTTCTCCATATGTGTACACGTTTGAATTAAGTACCGTGAATGAGGGAGAGTAGGAGTATATACAGGGTTTTGGTGGGAAAGCCAGAAGGAAAAAGACCACTAGGAAGACCTAGATGTAGGTGGGAGAATAATATTAAAGTGGACACAGAGTGCCGATTCCCCGTGTAGCCCCTCTCCCTTCTATTCCTGCTCTTATACAACTGTTTTTACTTGACTGGACTCAGTCTGTTGCACCTGCCCACGCTGGTTCGCTCATAGATTTCTGAAGATGGAAGCAATACATTCCTCTGAAATGTTGGTTAACACTATCTACATGGCGCCACATCCCCGAAGACTGCTTTCATCGTATTCACTGCCATAAAAACCTCAAATCTTAAATAATGACTAGTGAAGACACGGAAAACTGAGAAGGCGTAGTGTTCGCAGTAGTGATTTGTATAGTGTGTTGAATAGTGAAGGTGTTATAATTATTTGAAGTTACAAGTTGTAAGTGTTCAAGAAATCCAGTTATCCATTCAAACCGTGTCCAGTCAGTAACAGGTGACAATATATTTCAGGAGTGCTTCCAGCACTGTTATGTACAGAAAAACAAATGTGTACATGCTGTAGCAGTCTTACTTTGAAGGAGGTTCAACTACTGTATCTGAGTCCAATGTTCCCCCATTAATTGCTGTTATTTGGTTCCATGGAATGTTGGTTAGTGATTTGTCAGTTAAGAAATCCAGTTTTAACATGTGTTTTGCTTTTCTTTGTAGGGCATATAATGTTGGTAATTTTATTGAACATTTTGCAAATTGTGAGAAAAATGGTGGATATATAAGGTTGCACTACCAGACTACAAGAATGGTTGACCAATGTGATTATGGTCGTAAACATTGTCAGTGCACATTGGCAATCATTGGCTGACTATGAACAATGATCAATAGGGTATTTAGACATATTGTGGAGATATTGCTGGATTGAATCGTTGAGTAGTGAGACATCCATTAGTGGGAGATGACTACAGTATTTTGGTTCTCTTAGGTTCAGTCTTCATATTTTCTGATTAAAACTTGTATACTGATATTAAAAAATTTTCTGATTAGGTAAATACTTATCATTTTGAATGCTTAATGGGCTTCCCACCGCGGCGGCCCAGGTTCGATCCCGGGTCTGGTCAAGTGGGATTTGTTGTGGACAAAGTGGCGCTGGGGCAGGTTTTCTCTGAGTACGTCGGTTTCCCCGGCCAATCTTCATTCCACCAGTTGCTCCACAATCACTCTCACCTATCATCTGGGGCTGGTACGATAGGCCAGAATTGGCCGCAGTACAAGGGACTTAGTCCCACCCCACTAGCAATAAAAAAAATGTTGATATGACTCAGAAAAATCTTAGTTACTTATGGAGTTGATCAATTCTTGAGGAGAAGCCAAATCTGCAGATACTCAAGAATTTCGCAGCATTTTACAGAACCCGAAGGTTCATTACCGTGTTCACAAGAGCCCTCCACTGGTCCCTATCCTGAGCCAGATTAATCCATCCCATCCTATATCTCTAAGATCCATTTTAATATTGTCCACCCACCCACACCTTGGTCTTCCCAGTGGTCTCTTTCCTTCTGGCTTCCCCACCAATATCCTATATGCATTCCTCTTCTCCCACATCCATGCTACATGCCCTGCCCACCTCATCCTCCTTGACTTGATCATTCTAATTATACTTGGAGAAGAGTACAAGTTATGAAGCTCTTCATTATGCAGTTTTCTCCAACCTCCTGTCACTTTATCCTTTGGTCCAAATATTTTATTCAGTCCCCTGTTTCAGAAAAATCTTAGGAAACTTCTTGCCTGTCTTATGTTGTATTTTGTCTGCATAGTTTTTTAGTAGAGTTTGCTGTGGGGACAAGATATTTAGTATGTTCTTTTTGTTGCTATGTGTGAACCTTATTCTTATCAGCAATTCATTTTTTCAGCATTCCTGACTCAAGTGATGTTGATCATTCAGGATTATCACATGAAGGTGCTCACTTTACCCCAGTTAACCAAACCGCAAGACGTATTCGCAGTAGATTACCCTCTGTACCAGTGTCAGTCTGCACCCAGAGAAAGCATTTGGGCAAGAAGAGATCTCGTCGTTACGATAACGGTTAGAAAGTAATTTATGGAAATAGTGATAATATACTAGGATATTGGAACTGTTCAGAGACACCAAGCTAAAAATTCAGTGATGTGCAATAGCTGAACACTGTAAAGTATCAAACATGGTATTAGTAGGTCACAATAGAAGCTCTAACAAACATCACACTATCTATCATGGAAACCACTGAAATAGTCAGCCCCACAACTTCCAGCCATGAAGATGAATACAGAATGAGTAAAATATGTAGGATTTGATGTTCTTTCATTGGTGGTTGCAAAGAGTCCCTTCTTCTGAGATACAATGCCATGTGGTCTGTCAACTCCAGTTTACTTTCACCGGATTACATGACATTGTATTCCAGAAGACAGAGCCTTTGAATAGAGTCTCTTTGCACCTGTTTTTCCTCTAAACTTTCTTCGTTACCACACAGTCATTTCCCATTGGATTATGCCATGTTTACCCCACCTTTACTTTCATTGCAAGACTTCAGCTGTGACCCCTTTCTATTGGATAGCACTGTGCTCCACGCCCTTACCCTTATTCTCACTGAAAGACATATATATATATTCTACATTCTTTTGGTTCATTCACCATGAAGGTGAAGAGTGCAAGTGTGCCAAAACTGAAAAGCTTTAATATATAGCACAGTTAAGCCCAGAGAACCTGAATTACAATGCAATCATAAGTGTGAAATGGATTTCTAGGTATTTTTTTGGGCAACTGTTTATACGCATGAAAATGAATGTAATATCGAAGTTACAATGGTTATTGCTTATATACACAGTTTTATGTCACCTAAAAATTAAATTCGCTTAGTGGGGGGTGGAGTCCAACGGGGTTCACTCAGCATGGCAGCCACTGATTGTCCTATTGTAGCCTGTCTCGGGTGATTATGATGATGGAGAATTTGGTGGATTGAAGAGTGGCAGGGGAAACCGAAGTACTTGGAGAAAACCCGCCCCCAGCGCCACTTTGTCCACCACAAATCCAGCTTGACCAGACCCAAGATCTAACCCAGGCCGCCACAGTGGAAAGCCAGCGACTAACTACTTGAGCTATGGCGTGGCCTTTTATCTCACCTAAAATGTATTTGAACTTTTTCTAATGTAAACAAATATTTTGGTATATGTTATGCCCCAAATTTGAGATAGTAGAGGTAAGCCACTGCCCAAAATGTTCGCGACGAGCGAACAGTGTTGCACAGCTATTGCCGCAACATGTAAACATCAGTAATGGCAAGTAGGGTAAGAATTTGCTGGCTCAGCAAGGCTGTGTCCTCACAGCGCTAGAAGTTTGCCTAACTCGGGCACTGGAGAATCGGAATAGATCGCTTACACAGCGATCAGACGCAAGGGGGTCTGCCCACATCCCGATAAGACCCAATGAAAACCTAACTTTAGGAAATTAGAACACAAGGGAGGAGCTATCTACCCCCTTGTCGTCCACGCGGAATCAGCGAATTAAGACTATAAATGAGGGAAATTCAAGAGACTTGGAATTCTGATTTTAAACAGAATAGTCAGTTGTCAGCCGGAGGCGCTGCTCAATATGGGTTTAACAAGCGCCGGAAGGGCCTACAGTCTTCTATGTCAAGTAAGTCTTGTTCACGTATATTAGCCATGCCGAGTGATAATAACGTTGTTCCATAGTATTGGTGATACAGTGTGTTGAGATATTGCATGTGCAATTTCAAGTGTACCCAGTGAGCCCCGAGGGTAGGATGATAGATTAATGTGAAGGCCTAGGACATTAGGCAGGCCAACAGTGATTCATAATATATATATATATCAAAGTTAGGGTTAGTGTGTTATAGTAAAGATAGTATATGGGAACTTGAGTTACAAACATAACTAAGGGTAGTTTATGTAGACGAGACCGTACGATAGATCGGTAATCATAGATCATGTATAATAAGAAATGTACAGGGAAACTATATATGTTCTCGAGGGGGACTTGCATGTCCTCGTTAGCAAGTCAGAGAGAGAGAGAGAGAGAGAGAGAGAGTCGCGAAGCCTTCACCCCATGAGGGGGAAGAACTTGAAGAAACAGAATATGTAGTCACGACGGAAGGACCGTCTTTGTAACCTGTAAATAATGTAAATTGTGTATATATATATTAATGTAAATAGACGGCTAGGATAGGATAGGATGTACCGGGAGTGTAATTCATATATATATTCCACTTCCCACACCCGATCCCGAGTAATCCTGACGAGCGAGGGCAGAACTGACACAGGCCGCAGTGGCAGCCGAAGATGAAGATAAGAATAGGCAGGGATAGGCTCCTGCCACACAGGCAGAGTACGGTAGCCTTGATAGTAACGCCCTCCCAAGATCCGAAGATAAAGTGTAATATTAATGGATTACGTGGCTACCTGTAAACCATATGCGGAGTGGTCAAGAAGGAGCTAAGACTATATGTCAGGGAGTAGTACCAACAATTGAAAGAACAGAAAATAGATGGTGGCAGCTTGTATGACAGAAGGAAACTCCGATATAGGAGAATCCTAGCTAAGGGTAAGCTAGGATGGTTGCGTTAACGCCTTACAGCATAACCAGTGGAGGCAAGGAGGGGTACCTGCACACCCCCGACGGCGCGACGTTACCAGGAGTACCAGTTTACGACATAACTAGTGGAGGCGAGGAAGGATACCTCCACGGCCCCTACATGCGGAGTTACAGTGGTGACAGAGGCGGGCTGACTCCACGCCCCCCTGTACCACGGCATTACAGCGGCGGCAGCAGCGGGAGGGATACCTCCATTCCCCCCCTGCGCCGCTAGGGCATTACAGTATATATAAATAAAATCAAGTAATATATGGCTTAAAGAACAAATAAATTAATATTTCACATATCTATGCATCCTGTTGTCAGAATGTTCAGATAAGCAACTCATGTCATCTGGTAAGCGCTCATCTTTGTTTTGATACGGATATTCTCAGTTCAGGGTTCTTTCAGGTTAAGCATAAGAAGAGCATGACACTTCAGTAGGCTATAGTATTAAACCTGGGGATCTTGTTGGCCAAAGCCTTTTGAGATAACCAGCTTTCCAAAAAGGCTTTCGATTTCCCTTATGCTTGCATTTTATTTGTGACAGCTTAACCATCTTGCCTGTGATTAGATCTCTCATCAGTCATTTGGTCTGAAAATGCATTGAAAACTGAGGTAAACCCCTGTGTTTACAGTGTAATTAAGAAAATACACCCAGTAATTAAAGTCTGGGTAATGGCACACCATATGCCAATTTTTTTTAGAATGTGATGGTTCCTCATAGATTATGGGTGGATTTTCTGATGCCCATAAACTTGCTTTATGAGGTCACTGAAGTGAAACCAATCTTTATCTATAAATTTGAGATACAGAATCCCAGGGTCTTTATCACTAACTGTTGAAACCACATGCAAAAATTCACACATCCATCCCTGTCCATTGGAAACAACTCTTAAATTACCAGCACATATTATGGCCACTGTTTTTTTTTCTCTTAGCTGCACTTTCGCTCATGGTATAGGGTGGTCAGGTCTCTTGGTTATAACTTAAGCTGTAATTTAGGAAATAAGCCAGCATTGCTTCTTTAAATTGTAAATAGTATTTTACTGCTGAAAGTCTGGGGCCTCTAGTAAGAGGATAATCCTGTAATTTTGCTTTGAGTTACCCATTCTTACTGTGATGAGACTTGACATCATATAAATTTAGCATGAGTTCTGTTTGTGTGTATGTCTGCTTTCAGCAAACCAACTCATGACATTATTGGAAGAGGAAGAGCTCGGAGAAGTGTCTATCCATGATCTAGTCCAAAATTCTAATGATGCTTTTCAAAAATTATTGGAGAATAGGGACTGCCTAGAGGTTAGTCCATTTATTTTATAAGTTGCTTGATTATTTTGCGATATTGTTGATTTAGAGGGTAGAGAATGAGTTACCTCTGAAGTACATTATATTTTTATAAGATTTTTATTACAGATGTAACCTTCTCTGCTATCTGTTAATTATACCCTTTTATGTCCACAGGAACCCTGTTCTGTAGTTGGCTAAATATGGCATAAACTCCAGTGCATATATTACTCATGTAGGTAGATGCAATCTGAATTTTGTGCATTGTGAACAAGCTTGTAGCACTGAAAACAAGTGACACGTCAGCTTCTTATCCATGAGGTCTTCAGGTTAAGCCCTGAGGCAAGGTAAACTGAGCTAAGTGCCAGGTTAAGACCTCGCTACACAGGGCCAAAATCTGCTTTGTTCCCATTCATTTCCATTAAAACTTTATGGTGACATTCTGTTAGCTCTTGTGAGGTAAGGCATTCTGTAGTAGCTGCAGTTTCCTTCAGATGACTGGCAAATGACTGCTCAGTGCACTCTGCTACTGATCATAAGCATGTTCACTTTGTACAGTTGAAGTCAGTAGCATAGAGCTATGTATAGGGTGTCCGGATGAAAGGTATCCAGAATAAAACTTTTATGTCTCGGGAAGTAATTGTCATACACGTATCCGGGTTATGTCATCAGAAAGGAAAACTGTGTAATTTTTTTTTTCCGTGCCTGGCTTATGTGCATTTACTGCCACATTTTTGCCACCATGTTAGGAATCACTTGACAGAGTGATGGCCGGGAGATAGATCAACAGAAGTGGATCAGTCGCTTGGCCTCCTAGGTCGCCAGATTTAACCCCACTGAATTTTTTCTCCTGGAGTTATGTGAAGAACATTGTCTACTAGGTTAAGATCAACGACCTGCAACACCTGAAAGCCCGCATAAGGGATGCTGTGTCTATGGTAACACCAAACATGCTGGATCGTCTACACATTTTTTGTGCCACCAAGGGAGCCCACGTTGAAATTTATTGAAAAAGTGATATACTCAGAAAAAACTTTGATAATTTCTCTTTATAATGGTGGAACCCATAAATGTGTATAATAAAAGCTTTCTAAGATATAATGATTTTATTTTGGATACCTTTCATCCGGACACCCACCACCACTGACGTCTCAGGGATGCCTTGGTGTCATAAACTCCTGTGTAAAATCACAGCATATGTTATCATGTGTGTAAATGGAACTCCTGACATTAAATTTCAGAAACCTGGTAGAAGAAGCTTGCCGCAGTTTTACTTTTTCAGGCCTGGGACAACTTCATTCAAAGCAGCGAAGAAGTGCAGTTGATGGTAATTTCAGATAATGGTTTCTTTGAACGGCCTAGGAAGAAGATGGCTTCTTTTCCTTCCAGTGGGCCTAAGACTGGAGAGCAAGCTTTCAGCAACATCAAAACTGGTCTTCGCAGTGTCTTGAAAAAGAATCGTATACCATTGGTAAGATGTATTTATGTTAGATAAATGTACCGCATATTCTATTTCTTTTTAGTTTCAGTTAAAAATTATGAAGCTTCTGATAATTGTGGAAAAATAAATATGTTGCTTTTTTTCCCATCATTATTAAATTGAAAGCTACTGCATCTGTTAACTAACACAGAATTACTCCCCTTTGGACTGATGTGGTTAATCAAGAGAGAATGAAACCGAAAAGGAATGCCAGGCTTACTACTATTTATCATATGGGGAGGGCGGTTCTGTTATATTTTGTTCTTTCATTGTCTTTCCCATGTGTATTCCTTTACATGTTTGCTTCATTTATTTCAGTCAGTACTTGCATTCATCAGATTGGGGGATAGTATTCGGAAGAATGTGATATTATTTGGTGTGGTTTAGAAATGTGGGGCCTGACGAGTAATTGAACTGGTTTTGTAATAAAATACTGTTGCTGGTCACGAATGTGTGTGGTCATCTTCAGAATAATTGACTTCTGACATCATACATGCATTCCTAAATCTGTTCCTTGCAGCAAAACATTGCTGGAAATCATTTTCTGGAAGTCCCATTCAGAACTGTCATTACATTTGAATTCTTTAAGTGATTCAAAATGAGCATGGGGATATTTAATTCTGGGAACATGGAAAAACCATGGGCATAGATCATATGGTGTTTTATAATCATGCTTTCATTTTTTTTTGGAAAAAATTCATTTTACAGATAATTCTGTTTTTAGAGAGGAGCAAGGTTGTGACATAAATTCACCTGCCTGAACAGTGCTGAATGTACTGCCACAGATATTCCAGAACCAATAACTTGCAGGTGGATTGTTTGGTTTCTGTGTATATTTGGAGAATAAATTCATAATGGTTAACTTTTGATATCAAAGAAGCAGTTTGACACTATTTCCGACATTGATTTTGTCATCCACAATTTATGATCTCAGAAACTCTGTACATTTCTGTGCATTTTGTTTATGAGGCATACTGAAAAAATTAATGTTCTTTCACTATTTACTATTTCCTCACCCAGATTTGAATTATTTTTATAATTCCGCTGAGAAAATTTCCAAATCACCACTGGTACCGTTTTAGCGCAGTTTTTTTCTTGTTCAAATCTTAGTCCAACTCATTTTCACAGTTCATCATTCTGCACATTGTTCTCTTCCCATAATCTGACCATGATAATTTTTTTTCATTATCTTAGAAAACTATTGATTTGAATCACTGTTCCTCGAATTTTTTTTTTTTTACAAACACAAGAACACTTACTTACTTACTTAATAATGGTGCTGAGCCCTTCTTGAGGAGCCCCCAATTCTGCAGCTACTCAAGAATTTCCCAGCAGTTTATGAAACCTGTAGATTCATTACCGTGTTCACAAGAGCCCTGCACTGGTCCCTATCCTGAGCCAAACCATTCCAATCCATACCAGCCCATCCTATCCTATGTTTCTAAGAACCATCTTAATATTGTCCACCACTTACGCCTTGGTCTTCCCAGTGGTCTCTTTCTGGCTTTCCCACTAATATCCTATATGCATTCCTCTTCTCCCCATTCGTGTTACATGCCCTGCCCACCACATCCTCCTTCACTTGATCATTCTAATTATACTTGAGGAAGAGTACAAGTTATGAAGCTCATCATTATGCAGTTTTCTCCAATTGTTGTCACTTCATCTCTCTTCGGCGCAAATATTCTCCTCAAACACAAGAACACTACACAGTTAAAATGCTTATTAGAAAGCATATTGGGATACATGGTAGCGTAGTTGGTTGGGACACTATGCTACAAGCTGGAAGGTCGCGGGTTCAAGTCCCGATGAGGTCATTGGATTTTTTCAGTTGACCTAATCCTTCCAGCCGCACTATGACTCTGGGGTCAACTCAGCCTCTAACAGAAATGTGTACCAGGAATTAATTAAATAATTTTCCTGAGGAGTAAAGTGCGGCTGGCGAGTAAGGCTGACAACCCTACCGCCATCTCTGAGCCGACTGTCTAGATAATGTGGGAGCCTCAACGCCTCACAACCCTATGGGCCTTCACGGACTGTTAGAGGGATAGCTTTACTTTACTTCACTTTACTTTTATTAGAAAGCATATTATGACTTCCATGAAAGATGAATGTAGATTTTACGCCTTAGAGCAGGATAAAGCATGCTATGCCTAAGAGTGTCCAAACTTCTTAAATCAAAGGAAGGAAATTAAGTTTTATTATTATTATTATTATTATTTAACTGCAATTGGGGTTTCGCCCGGTGGCAGTGGTACTACAATAAGACAACGGACAAACAACACACATTACAACAATAAGACAACAGGCAAACAACACACATAAACACATTCAAACAAAACACACCACACAAAAGAAAAGTGAAACATACTATAAAACTATATTACATACTGTAATAAACTAACAGCAATGAATGCGCAATGCCATGTTCTCATTTTCCCTTCATTTCGCTTTACTGCACTTACGTAATCCTCCCATCCTTAGCACTATCACTACACTTCACTTCATTTTAATGCATTTTTTTTGCTGAGTTCCACCCCACCTTCACTTCACCTCTTTTATCGCTTTCCTAACCCTCTTCCTAAAATTACTTTGTTTGCAGGAGAGAGTCCCCATAGCATCTGAAGGTAGGTGGTTCCAGATCTGTATGGTCATATTAATGTGGTTAGCGTGGTTACCATGTTCACGTTTTACTAGTGCTAGTGTAGCTTCCATCTCTCAAGTTCATGTCTTCACCACAGTGCTATTACTGATTGTGGAAGATTAAAAAATATATGAAATAGAGGTTGTTTCCAGTGGCATAAGATTCATGTCAGAGTTCATTGACATTTGTTTAGTGGACATGAAGGTAGGTGGACAGATATGACAATCGCTATATGCATTGTTCTCTTTCACTTAATGCAAAGAGCACATAAAACGGGCAATAAAACTGACTGCAGTACTTATTGAAGAATTGCATTTTTTCCCATAGAGATAATGGGTTTTCGGACTTTATCCATCGTCCTGGTTTTAAGATAACTAAGAAAAACACAACGTGTGAGGCTAGCTCTTTCTAAGGGGCCCAACAGAATAGGTGTTTTCCCTCACCTGAGGACGGAAACAGATCCAGTTTCCGAAACGTCATGTTTTTGTTAGTTATCTTAAAACCAGGACAATGGATAAAGTCCGAAAACCCAATATCTCTATGTGTTATACACCATCGTCAGAATCCTATAGGAATTTTTTCCCGTTTCATACAAAATATTGTATTTAAGTATCCTGCTGCATTAATATTGTAACGTGTTTTGAGTTACTGAAGACGCCGTAGAGATGGTTAATTGGTTTATTTAACAATCTACAAATAACGGCTACAATTAATTATCACACAGTTGCGGGGTTTCACACTTTATAACCCTAATCGCATTAATCTGTTAACACTGTTGCTGGGTTTCACGATTTATAACCCTATGCGCAAATCAGTTCACTCTGTGTTCAGTAGTCTACACGTTGACAGTAGGGGAGCTAGGTATCACTGTATCACACACTCCAAATTACACAATCACACACACGTCCGGATCTTCTTTCCGCGACGGCCGCTATACTCCAACAGTAGTCGGCTGACTGGAGAACTGTTGATAACACACTCGGCGACTGTCACTTTATAACTCTCCTCGGCGGCTGTCACAGTACAACTCGGCGGCAGTCACAGTACATCTGAAGTCGCCGACTGCTACAGTAGAACTGACTGGTACCAGCTGTGCAGCTCACTTATATAGCTGCAGTGCTTGCCGGTTGCGTAATGAGTGCCACGTCACAGTAGGAAGTTGATTACGGGTACGTAGCTTTGCGCGTTACGTCACCACGGAGGGGAGTGGCGGGGCGGGAACTCGCCTATTACCGTAGTAACACGAGCATTACGTTGCCGCGGAGGGGAGTGGCGGGGCGGGAACTCGCCTATTACCGTAGTAACGCGAGCGTTACGTTACCGCCACGTACCGCTGTGGAGGTAGGGGTGATCCATAGCTCAACATGTCACAATATATTTCCACCTTAAATGCAACTTATTATTTTGTCACCCTTCTTCCTCACTATGGTCATACACAGCCATCATCAGGTGTTCTTTATCCTGTTAAAATTGTTGCATTATATGTCAAGTTATATATCGTGTGCAACAATTTTAGCAGGATACATGATGCCCGTTGATGGCCATGTATGGCTGAAACATGTAGTGAGGAAGAAGGGTGAGTAGATGATAAGTTGCTTTTAAGACGGAAATATATGTATACAAAAGATTCATATGAAATACTGCCCAATATTATTCACTTAAAAGTAACTCTGTACATGGATGAAGTTATTGAGGACCATTAGTGTGGTTTTTAACATCAGTTACTGGTTAGATATTCTGCATTGTCAGATATTGAAGAAAATATGGGAATACAGTTGGACATTATATCACCTATTTATAGACTTGGGGTCTGGCCACATGCTGTTATGAACATGGTAATAAACATGCTAAAATCTTCTTGGGCAATCAGCTGTATCAGTGTTGTGTCGAAAAAACTTTCGGAGTTCTGCGTCTTTATTATCAGGGTCAGGGTGATGAATGGTCATGCATCACTGGTATATACGAGGGGGGACCCAAAAATAACCGGAAACGACCTGTTGCATGCGCATGCTTTGTAGTTACGAGTTGTGCTGCTAGGTGATGTTAGCGGGGGGTCCCCCGCGACTGTTAGTGAGCTGGCGTCAGTCTGAGTTAAGTGGTTTGTCTGTGGTGCTCTGTTGTGTGCGTTCCTGTTTCAACCCTTCGGTGATTAGTGAGATGGCCGACCAGAAGGAACAAAGAGTGTGCGTGAAATTGATGAAGATCATCGAAAGACCATTGACCAACTTTCTGAGGAAACGAACATCTCATGGAGCACGGTCCAGCGAATTTTAACCGAAGGTTTGCACATGAGACGGGTGTCTGCAAAATTTGTTCCTCGCTTGCTCGGAGATGACCAAAGAGAAAACCGCGTGAATGTTTGCCGCGACTTGAAGAGTGAGGTGCAGTTTTCCCTAACAGAAAGCAAAATTTCACGCACACTCTTTGTTCCTTCTGGTCGGCCATCTCACTAATCGCCAAAGGGTTGAAACAGGAACGCACACAACAGAGCACCACAGACAAACCACTTAACTCAGACTGACGCCAGCTCACTAACAGTTGCGGAAGACCCCCAGCTAACACCACCTAGCAGCACAACTTGTAACTACAAAGCATGCGTGCGCAACAGGTCGTTTCCGGTTATTTTTGGGTCCCCCTTCGTATATCAGTCTATCAAATTGATGCCTTGACCCGTTGGTGTACTGTCTAGCAGGAGGGTGGAGTCAGATTGTGTGGTCACCCATCCAGCTGCACCGTGCCACTTAACCTAGTGTCCCTGTCGTCAAATCTTACATGGTAGTGAACATTCAGTTTTCACAATAGGTAGAGATATCTTGACTAGAAAAATAATTATTGGCTTATCAGGAAGGAAACTAGATCAGGGAATTAGATGGTATCATTTATATGCATAATTGTGTGGCGTAATATATAACTGTCTTTGAGTTTAATTTGTTTTATTTACATATCTTGGTTTTTTTTTTATTATTCTTGGTCAGTTATATCAGTAATATTTACTGTGTGTTATTTTAGGGTATGCTGGAGTTTTTGGAAAATCAGGTTGTAGACTTCTTCTCAAAAATGCCATGTGGGACTTACACTTCATCATCCCTGTCCAGTTATGAGAGACTGCTGTTACATGCTGTATCCCAGTACCATTTTCTTAATTCATGCAGTAAGTTTAGTATATTTGTCTCATTTTCTAGTGTTGTCTTACCCTTACCAGGGTGAAAGAGTGTCTTTGTGCTGGTGAATAATATGAGTATGTGAGAGGAAAATGCATGCTGATAGCAGACACAGTGAGCACTGTTGTTAAGTGTGGGAATGGCAAATAACATTCTTCAGAGAACTGAATGTGACTAAAGGAGCATGTGATGAGATAAAGAACGTTGTGGGAAACATAGTTCTTTTCTGCATTCTTTATACCTGAAGGACTGCCTCTGTGGCCTAGTGGGCAGAGTTCCTTGCTACAGATCCAGAGGTCCTGGGTTTGATTTCCAGTGCTACCAGATTTTCTGAGAAGTAGTGGGCCTGGAACTGGGTCCACTCAGCCTTGTGAGGATAATTGAGGAGCTATTTCAAGGAAATAGTGGCTCGGTCCAGAAAACCGAAATTAATGGCCGTGGGGATTTGTTGCACTGACCACATGACACCCACTATCTGCTAAAGTTAGCACTAACTTCACTGACAAGCGGCGGTTGCGCAGTTGGTGTACTTCACTTGTGGACTACAGGCCACAGATATTGTTTTTATATGCCTGAAGAAAGGGTTGCATCTCACTGACATTGCAGTAGCATCTCTGTCCATGGAGTTCTGAATTGTGAACTCTTTGCTGACATAGAAGCCTTAGCCAGTAGTTGACACTTTTGTGGCCAGTAAGAGCTCTTTTATGTTTATCTGCTTAAATATTCAGAAGAATAAAAATAATTATATTAGAGTTGAATGTAAGAGCTTAAGTAGGTTTTTATGTTTTATAGAATTTTGTAATATGATGGTACATTTTTGAGAAATGCAGTTAAGCTTTAATTGTGTTATATTTTAGCGTCCTGTTACACTGATTCATATCCATGGTTTATGCTAACCATCTTACAGTACAACCCATGCAGTAACAGGAGCAAAACACAACACAGAACACGATACACAAATGTATATAGGAAGAAGGCTCACATAAAAGAGGATTGGCATAATTCACATGTTTGAGTGCGACGTAGGATGAATCCTGAAAAGTTTTATTACTTAGAATTCATCGACATATATGACGAATACAGATTTTAGTCATTTTAGAATGAAGACATCATGGCATGCAGTACAATAGTTTAATGTGCATAAAGACACCTGAGGATGGCACATTAGTGCTGAAACATGTAGTGTGGAAGTGAAGAATAAGGTGAAATAGTGTATACACTGTAAGACGGTTAGCATAAAGCTTTAACTGATCAAAAAGAATGTACATAGACATTTTAACTGCGTATGCAACGGAGCCTTGGTAATCTGAAGCCACATTAATTTGAACTGACTTCCAGTACCACAAGAAAAAGTCAGCACCTCCAAAAATTACAAATTTAACCTAATCATTTGATTTCCTTGCAGTAACATTAGTTCTTGTTAAACATGATACAGTATTACATGTTAATTGACCTGCCTGTTTAGGTGGTGAAAGATGTAATTTGGTGGAGCTTGCCCTGAACTCAGCATGTAGTTGAATGTCCACTGGTTTGGGTCACTGTTTATGTATACAATGTACCTATAAATTTTTTGAATAAATAGTTTTACAAAAAAAAAATAATCTGCTAATCTGCTTTAATTAGTTCACATTATTGAGGTTTTACTATAATCTTATTTGTCTGAAGGAGCAGTATGATTGAGCAGTGTATCAGCAATGAAAAGGTTGCAGTGACATTTGGATATTTCTATTCAAGCCATTTAAAAATGTTTGCACTTTAACATTTCAGTACTTCCTATGCATAGAGCTGTGATTTTTTTTAATTAACTGTAGGTGAACTATTGTTATGTTCATAGAAGAACAGTATGGTTTGAATGGTCTTACATTCTGTAAAAAAAATTAAAATTTAATGTATCACAGGCATCAGATGTACAAATTCAGCACAAAACCAGGTGACATTGTGCATAGTTCATTTCTTGAATGTTCTGGATATAATAATCAAGCTCCTTCTGTATAACTAGGAAAATCTTATTTATTTAATGTGCTGCAGAAAATAAAGGAGCCGGGCTAGTGGAGTCGGTATAGCGACTGGCTATGTGCTGGACGACAGAGGGGTCAGAATTCTAGTCCCGGTAGGGTCAAGAATTTTCTCTTCTCAGTGTTGCCCAGACTGGCTCTGGGGTTCACCCAATCTCCTATCCAGTGTGTAGTGGGGGCTCTTTCCCCTGTGTGTAAAGCCACCAGGGCGTGAAGCTGACCACTCGCCTCCAGCTAGTGCCGAGGTCAAGAAAATGTGGATCTATACATCCACTTCCTCATACACCTTCATGTTGTAGTGCTTAATTAGTTAAGCACAGGGACAACTTTACTTTTTTTACAGAAAGTACATTAAAAACAGATCAGTAATTGGATACATAATAGAATAATTACAGACAACTAATTAACAATACTCATCATCAATTGGTGATCTTAGTTCTTACTCAGATCAGATTTAGCTGTCTTTTGCTTCTGTCACAATACATGATGTTTGTTCAGTAAAACATAAAATAGAGCTGGATTTTACTTATTTTCTTATATAATTTTCTCTTTTTCCCAAATTTTTATTGTTCTGCATGTTTCTGCTTTGGAGGTTTTGTGTGTATTTGTATTTGTATGTGAATGAAAAAGAATTAATAGATTATCTGGCTCTCACCTCAATAAGTACCGTTGATTGATTACTGTAAAATCATGTACTTCATATTGTTCCCATTTGGTTTCATCCACCTGCCTTCTGTTTGATGCAGGTTGATGAAAAGCGCATACAACTGTAACATATCATTTTCATAATTTACGTGTATGAAACATGTAATTTCTGCACACACAGACATTAGTGATTGTGCATATATCACTTTTTAATTTCAAAAATAATTTTAATAGGTTTTGATTCTGCAAAGGAAAATCTTCGCCTCGTGAAAGTCTCCAATCCCTATGAAGTGTATCGGGTGCCAGCAGTGCTGTTGGGGCAGTATCTGGAAGACAAACGAAAGACAGCTTCAGGCAGCTGTTACCTAAAGTGGGCACCATGATAGAGTGGTACTTAAATTCCTGGTTATATCATTGTCATTGAATGATTTTTATTTAAATTTTANTGAAAAGGAGTAGCACTTCTTACAGTTACGTAAGGTGCGGGAGAAACAATGAAAAATTACTAGGAACAATGTAAGATTTGAGGTTTTCACGGCGGTGACTATGAAGAAAGCAGTCTTCTGGGATGTGGCACCATGTAGCTGTGGTGTTAACCGACGTTTCGGAGGAACATATCGCCTCCATCTTCAGGGTAGAAGGAAAAATAAATATTTCCGAAATTATTCTGCTTGCACCTGTTCTCACTGTCTCTTCACTTGCGGATTTCTTATTTTTCCTTCTACCCTGAAGATGGAGGCGATATGTTCCTCCGAAACGTCGGTTAACACCACAGCTACATGGTGCCACATCCCAGAAGACTGCTTTCTTCATAGTCACCGCCGTGAAAACCTCAAATCTTACATTGTTCCTAGTAATTTTTCATTGTTTCTCCCGCACCTTACGTAACTGTAAGAAGTGCTACTCCTTTTCATGCTGTACAGTATTCTGTATGATATGCCTGTTAATCATTCATTTAATATTGGCTTCATATTTACTGTTATGGGAATGATGGGCTCATATAACAAGCCTCTTGCTTCCATGTGGTCACTTATAAGTGCATTACATAATTTAATGAATTTATGTTTAGCAGGAACAGTTAATGTAAATACTTTTAGATCTGTAACACTGAAATAAATACAAATTTTCAGTATCAGAAACAATATTGTACAGCATATCTTAAATCAGTTCTTGGAACAGTTGTGCTGTGCAGACTAAGCTGTGGTATATCAGACTTGTATGTCCATAGAGACGGATAGATTATTTCTGCTTCTAGCTTCGTTCTCTTTCTAATATTGTAGCATCCTGTTGCACTTTTCACTTAGTATGAATGAGTTCCACTTTAAAGTTTTATGCTACATGTTTCCAAATGTGGTCATAATCAGGTGTTAAAAATTATAGAAGAGGTAACTGCTTTTCTTCTATATCATTACTTATGTTGTTAATATATAGTTTCCAGAATGCGCATTGAGGGGACTATATATATAACCTAAGCGATGATGCAGAAGACGGTAGTTCCCTCATCCATAATTTTTAACACCTGATCATAACCACATTGGTCAAAACATGTAACATACAACTTTAAAATGAATAATAAGTTTTATGGAATATCAGTGTTGCATGTGACACTTCATTCTCTTTGGTTGAGGGGTAGGAAGAATGTTGGATAAGCGTTCATGGCTGATGGAAGTTGCATCATTTCAATATGAACCTCTAAAGGAAAGCAGAAAGCAATATTGTAATGGCTCCAACATGTAAAACTATAAATTTCATATACTGTTGTAACAGTAATGAAAGACTGATAGTTACTGTTTTGGAAATAGTTTCATATAGGTGTGCCACTTTCAGTGATTGTTATGCCCCAAAGGTTATGTACAAGTACATATATGTTTTTTTTTGGGTAATTTGGAATAAGTGTATCTAGACTTTAAGATTAAGAAATAGAAATAACAAAATGTGCCAGTAGCGAGGCAATCGCTTTGTAATCAGAATGTTAGCATGACAGTGTAATAACGCTGACATTGAGGAAGAGGCTATATGAAGTGGGACATAAAGAACTAGGGCATTAGGAAATCGCTGAGTCGGAGAGGGCGGTAGACCTGAAAGAGCCAACCCCCTTTCGATAAACAGCCAATGAGTGGGCCCCACCGACCCAAAATCATGTCAGGATGGGCAGGTGAATACACCCCCGGAACCCAGCGAGTCAGCAAAAAGAGGGTACATAAACTCTAGAGGGATCAATCAGAAAAAAAAGATCATTAGTTGTCATTAGAGGCGGCTGTAGGCTATTGCCAAGAGAAAGATGGTGATGAGTAGATACTGGTTGGTGGCGAGCGCCTGTCTCATCAGCTCACGTAAGTGGACTCACTTCATATAAGCCATGAACATTCATCATCATCATCATCAGTAATCTGTCAAGACGACAGGTCCACAGTCTCTTTCAAAACAATTCCTCCACTTAATGCGATCTAGAGCTTTCTCCTTCAAATGACAGTATCCTCTTCTGTCCCCAAGGTCATCCAGCATCTTCTTACGTCTTCTTCCTCGTCTTCTTGTCACTTCTATCCGCCCATCTATCTTTCCTTCGATAGCTTCTTTTAGAAGGCAGTTTCTGCGTAAAACATGACCAATCCAATTAGCCTTCCGTTTTCTTATTTCATGTAGGATATTCCTCTGCTCACTGACTCTAATTAACACTTCTTCGTTTCTCACATAATCGGTCCAACTGGTCTTCTCCATCCTTCCTCCAACACCACATTTCGAAACTTTCCAGATGTTTCTGATCTACTGCCCTAAGTGTCCATGTTTCATCCCCATTCAGAGATATGCTCCAAATGTAGCATTTCACTAGTTTCTTCCTCAAATTTAAGTCCAATTTGCTGGTAAAAAGATTCTTCTTCTTGCTAAATGCAGCTTTTGCCATGGCAATCCTGGATTTAATTTCACAAGTACACCTTCCATCATCTGTTAACAAGCTACCCAAATATTTAAAACATTTCACATTCTCCACTTGTTTTTGGTCTATCTTTATTGTGACTGGGGTTGGTTGTCTCGAAATTTTCATTACTTTTGTTTTCTCCACATTCATTTCCATGCCATAGCACCTTCCAATTTCAATTAGTCTATCAATCATGCCCTGTAGCACAGTTTCTTCCTTAGCCATTAACACAAGGTCATCTGCATATTTCACAGTTCGAATAATTTGCCCTCCTACTTTGAAGTCTCCGAGCCCATCCAGAGGTTCCTTGGTAAGGCATTCGCTGTACAAGTTGAACAGAATTGGTGATAAACAGCATCCTTGTCGAACTCCTCTTCCAATCTGCACACTTCCTGTCTCCCCTCTGTCCAGTCGTACTCTAACTTTCTGATCCATGTACAATTTGCTAATCAATCTTCTTTCACGCCAATCAATACCTGTTTCTTTTAGGATCTGCATTAATTTGGTCCAGCTTACCCGGTCAAATGCCTTCTGCCAGTCTGTGAAGCAAACACACAGTTCTTCATCTATCTCCAAAGTTCGTTCCGCTATAATTCTCATCATCCCAATTGCACATGAACATTAAGTGTGATAATATTAAAGTGCAACCCCCATGGAGAGAAAGTGAAGACTAGATGGACTAGGTTTACAGAGAAAGAGAGACAGAGGTATAGGATACCCAATAGCAGGGTGACAGGAGTAGAACTAAGGTGCACTGCAGGATAATAACCCACATGCAATGCGAACCGGCAAACGTCGGCGAAGTGTGTATATATTATGTATATAGCGACATAGGTGAATAGAGTAGGATAGAAATGTGCTGTGATGTTAACTGAACTTGCCTTCCCTCAAGTGTTACCGTCCTCCCTGAATGCTCCTGCATCTCCCGGATCCTATAGGAGAATTGCAAACTCAAGCCAAGGCGACAGTACGTCAGTGATTGTAAATTTACTTGAACCCCCCTTTATGGCATAATAAGATGGTGGCAGCGGCGGGATACCGTCACGCCCCCATCACCACAGCATAATAATTGGTGGCAGCGGTGGGATACCTCCACGCCCCCTGTCACCACGGCATAATAGTGATCATGCAGTCAAAGGCATGTATTGTTTTCTGTTGCTAAAACTGAAATTTTGTATTTAAATCCCTCTTGGGGCATGGATGTGTGTCTGTCTTTTTTTTTTTAGACTACTTTCCTTATTTGGAAAAAATAAAAGAATTATGGGTTCACCTTGCTATCTGTGTGCCCAGCCCTCCCATCCCCAACACCTGAAAGCCAGAAGAGATGGCAGTTGCTATGCAACGGCTTGGTAAACACATTTCCATGGTAACGAATACACATACAACAATAGAAGAACTGCTGGATGCAGTATTTTCTATGCTGTCAGTGTTGTATCACATACTCAGTATGCAGTGAAAGGAAAGAAGGTGATTAATTCTTCCCAGAATTGCTTGTTGTTTCTGTCTTAATGTTGCGTTTTGTGGGTAGAGGCCTTGTGATGGGCTGACCACCCTTCCGAGGAGTCCTACCAATTGTCTGTAATCAAGATACTGAAACCCAGAAAAACAGGGGGCCTTGGACTGCTTTGATCTCTCATGCCATCATTAACTTCAACAAATCACAATTTTTGACTGTGAGTAAATTTTGAAATTTCAGTCTTCTGCCACTGGCACCAGGGGTCTGGATTGGGAATTAGATTTATTGAACTCTTACAACTCATAACTACAAGTTCAGATTATTCTCTCACTGTTCTACACACTTCATAAGTCACTACAGGACACATTAGGTCTTCTCAGTCTTTTACAGTTTCCACTAGCCATTACCTGGTAACAGCAGATGTTCCCCATACTCTGGGTTCTCAAGCTATCAGCTTCTAACAGCAACAGCTCACAATGGCTGAACTGCAGTTCTCTGACTAACTCCCAGGCTGGTGGCCATCTCACACCAACCTCCTGGTCTTCTCTTCACAGACTAACAGCTGACCAAGCTTTAAACCTCATCTTGCTTATAACCCCTCAGCACTGACCATGTAGAAAACACGGCTCTTCCATTGTTACCCCAATCGTGTCCATGGGAATGTGCCTGCCAGCGAAGGCATCACCCAGCAATTGCCATGTATACTCGCTTATTAAAAATCTTCGGCCTGGCAGCGAATGTTGTCTCATTGTCTGTTTCAAGGTTGCTACCAGCAACAGCTCTACACACTACAGTATTATTTGACATGGGAGCATGTTGCCTAGCAATGGCCATATCTTCTTGCTTCACTATTCTGACTTTCAGCCGTCATGTCACCGTATATTTTACAAGACGTTTTGAATGAGATTTATGAGTACATTTTGTATTATATTCCCTTTATTGCTGTTTGAGTGTAGTGGGTTGATATGTTGGTAATGTAAAACTGCTGTTTGTTACATTGTTAATGTACTAGCTTGTAATTGCCTTTTATATTGTAATAGGAATGTTTCAATACCATGAAATGTTT